GATCAGGTGAATTGATCAAAACTACTCGAGCCAGCATAAAAAGGCAGACAAAAATCTAGGGTCAACATCGCATCCAATCACCCAGTCTGTCATTTTTGGCTGGGATGGGAATTAATGTCGGGGGGCTTCGGGAATTTGACCCACAGGAGTGGCACAAAAGAACCTGTTTGGACGAGCCAGTGATGTTCGGTCCTTTTTTTGCAGGTCAGACTGGAAGGTAGCCAACGTTCAGGTGTGGATTGGTGAAATCAAAAAGATTCCATCCAGATTTTTGCTTGTCAAAGCACCACATCTTGTGTTGATCTTCTAGTGTCATATGTAAGAGGTACAGCCAATGGCATTTTTATCCGTGCCCCATGTTCCCAATCGTGGAACCCTGGTTTTATTATGGGTGGTTTATTGTTGCCCATATTTCTATGTACCCTCTGGTATATTGCCTACTCACATTTACCCTTAAAAGTTACCCTTAAATATTGTTGGTAAGCTACCACATTTTCAGGATCGACACCATACAAAAAGTACATCTTCTATAGGAATATGGTTTACAAGAACCAACTGGCTACTAACCTATACTGCCTATACTATATTAAACCAAGGATGGTAAAAACCACGTGCAGTTTACCATTTGATAAGTGGGTGTATACACGGTGTATGGCCACAATCACAAGGGCTCCCAAAAAAATTGTGGGGCTTGTACCGCTAGGACATTGATGGAGAGGCAGGAGAGCAGGAGCGCTGAACATCCTGTGTAATTTCACTGAGTCAAACATGGTGCTTTTGACGAGCAGATTGTGACCAAAAGCGAAAAAAGATACTGTATAATGCCGTATATACTGTTCCGACATGCGCACGCGACCTATATCCTTATGGCATGTGGTGCAGTTTTTTTTTGGTACTGTATATATGTTTTTGCAATTGCAAATGATCGCATATAGTTCTTTCAAGCCTGACAGGAGAAGTTAAGTTGAGTCACAAGAGCCTGTAGATGCCAGTTGACAGCATGTGACAGCCTTCGCTGCGGTGAACCTTAATTTTGAAGCCTATCTTTGTCACAAAACACCTTGTAAATACCAGTCTTTTTCCTGCTCAGCGCCATGGCCGTTTGACACTTTCAGCAATTCATCATTGAATATTGTGAGCCTCACAGTAACATATTACTTGTTAGAGACATATTGCCAAGCTGCAGGCCGTTTATGCATAGCAGTTTTTTTTGTCTTTGCGCATTTGACACTCTTAGCACGTTAATCTTTAAAGTATTGTTGATCACTGCTTCTTCATCTGACAATTGTTACTGCTTAGGATTGTTGCTTCGCATCGCTTAGGTTTAGATCACCGTTGTGTTTTACTATATGTACACTAGCATTGTTTGGTATTTTTCATTTGGCCCAGCGATTCTCACCAGAGAGAATTTTTCGTACTGGAGTTTTTGCATCCTGACATAGCTGGCGAAACGAAGCGCCCTAGTGACCTTATTTCCCAAGAGCGGTGAGGAGCACTTGGGATACGTGAAGGTCTCTGGTTCTGGAAAGCCTGTCTGATAGGTTTCTTACTCTTTTTTGGTTCACATAATCTTGCCAAAGCTTAAAGGTTTCAATGTTGGAGGCTCGTTGGAAGTCATGATTTTCGTGGAATAAATCTACCAGATAGTGCCCGGCACGCGCCGGGGCCGAAGTTTCGAAAATAGGCAGTGACTATAGGAAGAGACAAGCCTATAGGAATCTTTGGTGAGCTGGAAAAAAATGAGATGAAGCTGGAAAAGAAGGAAAGATGTAATGAATAAATGAATGCATGAAAGAATGACTGAATGATTGAAAGAAAGAGAATGAAGGAATGAACGCGTGAATGACATGCATGAAAAATTCTCTTCTGTAGCTTCTGCAAGCCAAGTCTTCTCTTCACGCCGCTGTTACAATGCGTTTAGCAACCTCCAGCTGCAATCCCGCAAAGCACAAGAGTAGCACTATGGTCAAAAACTACTCGTACCTTTCACGCAGCTGTTACAATGCGTTTAGCAACCTCCAGCTGCAATTTGCCAAAAGCGTCGCCATGCCAACGCGTCTCGGTTGCAAACCCGAATAGCAGGAGCCTCGCACCAAATCACCAACGCTCACGCAGCGCTGACAATGGGAACGATTCCGCGCTAGTGCGAGCGTGCCAGTTTTTGACGATTTTATGTGAAATCGAGCTCTCGCTACGGTGCACATTTTGCCGACCTCATCTTCCAAAAGTGTTCCGGCTGGCACTTTTCAACATGTTGAAGCGCACATTGAGCTCTTGCTACAGTCCTGTGCACTTTTTGTCGACAACTTTCGCAGATCGAACCCCGCACCCATGGAAACAGAGACCCTACTTCCCTGAGGCCAGAAACAAAAAAAAAACAGGGTTTCGCACACGAGAGTTTTCACCCGCAAATTCACGTGTTCCCGAGCCGTTACTCTTCTCTATTGCTCCCGCACGCGAACTGCTCTTGCTCATTGTGTTATTGACATGATGATGCTCACATGAAAATGACAGTATGACATGATGACAAGACTGCCCTTGGACATTCGCCCGGAACTCGGAAGCTTTCGAACTAAACTGCGTTTGGTCAACCCAAAAAAAACACATAAAAATCCCTACTCAGCCTCCGTGAGAACTGATCTCCATGTTGCTGTGGTAAATCTACTTGTTCTCTCACTTCGCCAGCTCACGAAGGAAACCTAATTTTAGTGTCCAATGATTTGATCACAAATTTGTGTTACATCAGGTGCATATTTAAATAATTTTAAATATATTTATTTTTAAATATATGTATATTTATATATGTATGTATATATATATATATTATGTTATATATTATATATGAATGTAAATATACCTGGAAAACCATTGCCATAATCTTTTTTTTGGTCTAACGGATAATTCTCCACCCTTTCTTTTGGTCATTATGGTTTTGATTGTCTGGAGCCACTTGTGTGAGAATTGCTACGTTTTTTTTTTTTTAAACGGATGTTTTTCAACAAAATGATGTTTCAAAATACGGTTTTGCCGCGGGTAGGACTGCAATGTTCTTTTGATTTGACAATTTTTTCAGGTCATTGCGGGTAAAAACAGTATGTGAAAAAAAACTGAATGTTACGTTTTTTTCCCATAGTGACCAGGAAACTTTGGTTTTTTGGTTTTCCAGGTATATATATAATTATCCAGGTATATATATAATTAAATAAATATATATATATAATTAAATATATATATATATGTATATTTAATTATATATCTCGTGCAATAAAAGTAAATATGAACAGTTTCTGGCCTTTCGATGGGTTCCATTCGAGATTTTGCCTACGGGGCAGGACCAGGCTACAGAGGTTCCAGACGTCCAAGCTTCCAGCAACAACTCTCAAGCGGAGGAGTTTGGTTTCATAAGTCATGGGGCATCCCCAAGTCACGGGTAAATATGGGTATGGGTCAATACCTATAGATACCATTTTTAGTGGGTTATTCACATCCATTTTAACCCAGCTATGACTTGGGGTGAACAAAAGCACGGTACCAGGGTTTTGACCCATCCCCATATAAGCCATGGTCGTTCATGATTTGGATAACTGGGGCTATCCCCATGACCTAGCTTATGAACGGATTTCGTAGTTCATGCATGGAGTTGCAATCCCCAATTCCCCAAGTAATCTGGGATAGTATGATAGTATAATATGTATGTAATCAACCAACATGTTTTTTCATGCAGCCACTTAATTGGATGGTCCAAGAGATAAGGTGGTTGTTTAAAAGTGGTTGTTGAGTGGTTGTTAAGCAGAATCCCAGAATTGGATGGTGGGACCATGTACAGAAGATTTATTTTTTTTTGGAGGGTAAACATGTGGTAAAAACCACGGTTTCAAACTAGATTTTCCAGGCCAAACCAAGTTGTAAGTTTGGTTTAAGGGAAAGCCGGCAGCGAACCATGGTCTTTACCATCAAATATCGGGGTTTCCTGTAGATTTTCCCTTAAACCCATCAACTAAATTAATGATATAAGAACTTCCAGTTGATTTCCCCAGGAGAAGACGTCGGGTGGCGGCTTCTTCGATTTCGATGACTTAGACGAAGCTGAAATGGGATGACGATGGAGATTTTCGGTTTCGACAATTCAAAAAAGGAACTTGGCCCCTGGCCCCGGAAAAAAGGTCAGGTGAACTGAACATTTCAGTGTTGGATCATGACAAGTCGTCATTATTAAAAAAGGGATGTTTGGGGCCGCAACGTGACCGATTTGGACTCAAAGTGGTTCTAAATCAGGATTTTAAGGTCATGGGGGCCAACTCGGCATGCCTTAGTGGTTGTGGTGGATCTTGATGCTCGCAAAACAATCAATGTTCACGATTTGGAAAGAGCTGTGGGTCAAAACAGTGGCGTCCTGGTGATCCACAAACATCTCGTTTTGATGACTTGGAGGGGTCCAGGAAAATCTTTGAGAACCACCCGGCCACACCTCCGCTGATCACGAAGAATCAGCGCAGATTTCGCCACGGCGCTGGAAAATCTTGGAGGTAGCGGCAGCATGTTGCGGTTTCCTCTGAGAGGATGATTATATATTATGTATATATATATATACACATCTGTATATACACAGTCACATATTTTGATGATTTTTGTGGCACAAGTGTTAGAAGATCTGGTTTGATGTCGATGGGTATTGGATGGATGATCAACGGTTGGTGGGGAAGTTCCCCCCCAAAAAAAGGGTCGCTGTTTCAAACCTGCTTCAAACTTCAAACCTCCAAATTTTCAATCGATTCAATTCCCAATTTTTGGAAACCATCATTTGTTGCTTATGAAAGTTCAGAATGGTCAAAATCTCTGGTAAACCAAGTGGTTGCCATATTGGAATGGTCAAAACCTATGAATTTTTGCCACATTTTTGGGAAGTTGCAAATTACCATCCATGAAAACCAGCTACATTCGGGTACCATCCCTAGGTACCAGGGTTTTGACCCATAACCACAATGGAAGTCATGGAACAGGCGGGGCTCAGTGGGCATTGCCTGTCAGCTGTGGCGCTGCTGGGAGCCCTGGAAGCGAAGCCGAGATGAGGATCTGGGCAGAAGGGACATGTCATGGGACCAGTAATATCAGTCACTCTGGATAATACCCTCTGGTAAACATACAAGAAGCTATTGAACATGGCCATAGAAATAGTGAGTTTACCCATGAAAAATGGTGATTTTCTATAGTTATGTTAGTTTATGGCCAAAGATTCAATCACTGGATTGGTTTCTTGGGGAAAACCCTTAGCCGGAAACCCATGGGTTTTTACCATCAAATTGTTTGGGCTTTCCGGTTAAAATTTTCCCACCATCCAATTCTATGGCTTAAGGCTGGTTTGAAATTGATAAAAAACCCCACAAACATGGGATTTAAAAATGGGTTTTGTCTATGAAAAATATGCGATTTTCATGGGATCTTAACCATCCAAGATGAAGATTTAACTATTGAAAATTGGATTGGATTCAAGCAGTGGAGAATGGATCACCCATAATTTTGATGCTTTAGACCCCACTCACGGTCCCTGTGAAGCCTGCAATTTTTGGGTATCCAGCATTTTTGAACAGACCCAGCCGGCAGCCGAAATATATGAAGCATGTGGATATTGAGAACGAAGAAAACGGGTGATTTCACCGGGAAACATGATAGCTTTAAACAAGCAATCTGTGGATTTAAGCAAGAAGAATTGCTATGGAACGAACACAATTTACCAGAAATTCATGAGTTCAGCCACCAAAATATCAATCTTTTGCAGAAATTGAGATCTAACCTGCGTGCCAGAGGGGGGGTTAATCAGCAGGGGATAGAACCACCAAACATAGGATTCCTGCGAGTCATGGGATGTGATCATCGAACTTGGAACTTGACCATCAAACATTGGGAGATCCAACAGAACTAGGAAGTTCACCAAGCAAAACATGAGGACCACGAGCAACAAAGACCCACAGCCACACAGACTCTCTCTTGTTGGCATCCAACAAAAACATGGCAAAAGAATCACATCCCAACTCCAATCATCAAATCCCCATCTTTTTTCAATCCCAGTGCTTATTGCGTACCATATCTTACCATCCACCACAGTCTGTGGATTTCAGCAATTTCACCAGCATGACGCAGCCGATGCCACCGAGGTTCTTGTCCCTCCCAGAGTTGCTGGAAGTCAGAGCCAGCGGCTGTGCTCAAGACGTTGCTGGTGTTGGGAGTTCTAGAAATTTGGGGGAACTCATCTACAAATTGGAGGTTTCTAGCCGGGAAAATCATCTATTACTGGAGGTTTCTAGCCGGGAAAATCATCTACAAATTGGAGGTTTCTAGCTGGGAAAATCATCTATTACTGGAGGTTTCTAGCCGGGAAAATCATCTACAAATTGGAGGTTTCTAGCTGGGAAAATCATCTATAACTGGAGGGTTTTCTTGATTGTCACATTTGATTACTGGAGAGTCTGTGGTGATAACTAGCAACCAATAAGCCACGTGTGCCGCCGTCAATGCCGAATCCTCGCAGAATCTTTCCCAGACAGGGGGATGGTAAATCGTCATCATAAAAAAAACAGGGTTTTTCATATAGATTTACCCTCTGGTTATGTCAAAATAGCTATTGAAAATGGCCATTTATAGTGGATTTTCCCATTAAACATGGTGATTTTCCCATCAGTTATGTTAGTTTACCAGAGGGTATCATCCATGTTTAATAGTAGTCATCATCATAAACTTCACAATACACCTACAGGTTTAAAGACAGCACACGATTTGATGATGATGATGATGAGGATTATTATTAGTAGCACTACCACTACCATTACCATCACCATGGAATTTATCTGATCACTGCTGTCATTCTTCATGGCTGGTGGAGATGATGATGGATCCACCAGAAAAGTCGGATTGTTCTCTCCGTCAGTTGGGTGATTCAAACCCGACTTGGAAGGTAGGTGTATAGTGTCTATGTATATCCATTGGCGGTTTTTTCCGTATTATCCTGTCACCTCATAGATTATTACGTAACTGCAATGACAGCTGTGCATGACATAACACGTTACTGCATGTGAACCTTTTGAGACTGTTGCCCCTATCCGTAGGGAGGGGCTCGAGCACGCTTAGCCCAAAGGAAAAGGGTGCATCTGCCTGCACCGACTGTGTGGCCTGGGTTGGTCACGTCCCTAGACCTCGTGCATGGTAGCGGAGCTACTGGTGGGGCCTTACTACATCCTTGAAGGTGTCTTTGGCATCTTCGTGGAGGAGACCTACGGTGGCCAATGCCTGAAGGGCATGGAGTCCCAACGTGGGACGGAGACCCAGCCAGCTTCGAGGGGTTTTGCACCTCGTGCCGCTGGTATGAATGCTCCTTGAAGGAGTCAGAGCGACGACTGGCAGCACCAAGGATCTGGCAGAGGTTGCAAGGATCCGCAAAGTCAGTTGTCAGGAACTTGGAGCCGAAGGACTTTGACTCCACGACAGGCCTGGACAAACCGTTGGGAATCTTGAGGGAGTCGCCACTTCAAAAGCTGCCCATCCCGGATTCGTTCCAGAGGTTGGAGAAGTGGTCAGGGATGAGGCGCACTAGTGGGGAAACAATTCCTCAGCTCCTGGTCCGCGAGGAAGAGCTCTTCGTGGAACTTCAGAGGGCACTACAACGTGCAAGAGCTGAACGTGCTAAAGCTGAACTACGTTCTACAGGAGTCGGAGGAGCTGAACGCGACCCATCTCAGAGCCCTTCAAGATCCCCACCAGCAGGAGTTCGTGGAATGCAAGTTGGTGAGCCAGCAGCAGCAGAAGAACCTGGGGTTTCAGGAGTTCTTCACACTCCAGTGGATGGCATGGGATCCAATGGATTCTTTGAGGATGAGATGAGAGGGTACCGCCTGTTGAAGGCATCCCGCCTTTCTCAAGCGGAACGACAGCATGTGATGACCCTGACCAAGAACAGTACCCACTTTCATCTCATTCGCCAAGCTCTTCGATCCCTTTTCTCTGAGGACCAGCAGGACGACGGCTTCAAGCAGAAGAAGGTCTGGTATGCGGAGATGGAGGATTCATGGAGTCCAACATGGGAGGCTGATGACAATGCAGCCTATTGGATGGATGACGAGAACTACCAATGGGATGAAGAGTACGCCTACTGGAGCGACTGGCCATCACCTTCGAGCTCTTGGGATGACCCCTACATCTATGAGGAGCACGACAACACTGCCTATGAGGAGACGGCCGACGTGGACAAGGAGAAGACCCAGGAAGAGATCGACGAGGACAGACGCGTCGAGGAGGCCTACACGTTGGCAGCTGAGGCCAACAGAACCTTGGCCGAAGCCAAGCAGGCAGTGGCACGTGTCCGAGCTGCCCGTGGATACTACGATCCAACTGGCACCAAGGGGCACACCGGCAAGGGCAAGGGCAAACCGAAAGCTGGAAAGGGCAAAGGAGCCACTGGGCCGTGTTTCACTTGTGGCCGGCCGGGACATTCGTACTTGCACTGTCCTGACCGCTGGTCACCCCAACCGAAAGGTGGAATACCCCAAAAGGGGAAGGGCAAACCATCTGGCCTGAAAGGTGGAAAAGGTTTCAAAGGCAAAGGCAAGAAGGCCTACTTCATGGAGTATAACCCCACGCACTACACTGACTATGACATGTCCCATGTGTATGTCCTCTCCACTGTGGATGAGAACCAGGTCCAGTCCATGGCCATTGAGAAGGCGATCCTGGACACCGGTGCAACGGAGTCAGTGGCAGGAGTCGCAATGATGGCTCGATTGATCGACAATGGCCTCATGGAGTACACCATTAGGCTGGACGACAGACCGAGCTTCCGGTTTGGCAATGGACAGACCCAACGTGCAGTTTCCAAGCTGGAGCTCATGACGCCTTCGCTTGGGAAGATCGGCTTCTACCTCCTGGATGATGGGGCCGACTGCACTCCGATGCTGATTGGAGCTCGGGAGCTTCGAAGACGCAAGGCAATGATCTCCTACAAAGGGGACTGGCTGGCGTACTTCCTGGACAATGACTGGTGGGCATGTTCATTGAAGTCACTTCGCAATGGGCACTTGGCCTTGGATCTTCTACGAGCACGACGTCCTCTCTGCACCTTGATCCAACAGTTCGCACGTTGGCCGGATCCACCTCCTGGCCGACGAGATGAAGACAGTGATGAAGAAGGTGAAGGTGAGGAAACGATCCACATCGCCGGAAGAGACCGAGAGGACCTGGGAGCTCGCTTGAAAAGCTTGTGAGACAGGAGACGGTGGGTGTTGGAGCCTATGGTGGAGGAAATGGCCATGCAGCAGGCCGCAAGTCACCTGCTGCCCCAGCCAAAGTTCCTGGAGAAGCACCCACGACACCTATGGAAGACCGTGGACGGCATGATGATGAACTTGGCGATCCACCCTCAAAGGCTAGGACATCGCCTGGCTACACTCCTGGCTCTGGAGTTGGAAGCCCCGATGTGATCGTCAGGGAAGCAGATGACAATGATGACGAGCACCATGCCTATGTCCGTGGACTTCGTGAAGGCAGCTCAGAACATCGAGAAGACGAATCTGCCCGAACTCTACCTCCAGAAACTCCAGAACTTGGGGAACGAGATGGTCCTATGGATGTTTCCAATGCGGAGAAGACTCCGGACACTCATGCAGAGGCGGCTGAAAACAGTGAGCCGTCGATCATTGAGCGCCCCTTCAACTCTAAGGCAACCAGGTCTGGCACTTCTGAAGCAACTAGATCGGGGACTAGTGGGGGTTCTTCTGGCATGTCACATGTCACCTCAACTGAACATCAACCTGAGCAGCATGAAGAACCACGTCCAATCCTGATGATCAGCTGTCATGGATGGAAGGCACAAGGTGATGAGGTGAACAGTTTGGGCCGAGTTCAGCATGATGGGCACCGTCACAACATGGACGACCGCCTCAGCAGCTTGGCTCAACGTCTGCGACAGCTGCAAGACCAGGTCTTTGGACCACATGAAAACGGTTCCCCCTGCCGCAGACTCCGATCCCCGCCAGACGGGATGGCCATGTATGGGAGCCCACAAGCCGGGCCGCGAGCGCAGCAACCAGTATGCGCTGTGGACAGCATGCAGTCGATGTGGACTGCGCCTGACCTATGTGGCCAAGGGACGCCATCAAGGAGACACCAGAGCAGTTGGGCCACCGAGAGACTTGGTGATCCAAGCGCAAGAGGAGCTGCGAGTGGAGTTTGCCCCCACGGACATGAACGAGAAGATCTTTCAGGGCAAGCTCATGGAGGTGAAGGGCAGGGAATTGGTGAACTCTCATGGAGCCGGACGCACAACCGTCCAAGTCCGTGCCGACGAGCGCCTGGGACAGCTGATGATGAACGAGCCGCCGAAGACAAAAGGCGCCAAGGCAAAGTCGGCAGCGACATCACCAATCCCGGAGGAGCACATCGCGGAGATGGCACCACCGACCTCAAGGACGCCCAAGACTCCCTCGAAACGCTCCACATCACCTACCAGGACACCGGGCACGGAGTCATCTCCAACGACTCCGGAGGAAGAGAGCTTCAATCCTCCTTCCAGGCCCATCAAGAAGGAGAAGCCAGTGGAGGCAAAGAAGAAGGAAGTCACGGTGGATGCAACGGAGGTGCTGACGATCTCCGACGACGAGATGGTGAGCTCTGCAGAGGAGGAGAAGACCATGGAAAGGCCCAAGAAAAGCCAGGGCAAGTGAGCGCCCTGTGGAAAGCGCTGCGCAACTTGCAGCACAGGATGCGTGGTGGGAACTCTGAGCCCACGATGCCATGTCCGCCGCGGCTGGAGGCTGCCCAGGACAACAGTTTTCCTTCAACTGGACTGACAACATCAACTTCCAATGAGCACCAAACTGCGCAATACTCCACACGCACTACGATGAATTCAACGAATTCGGCACAGCAGACTGGCCATTTTGGAAAGTCTGACCGGAATGATGGATCTGTCCTGATCCATGACAAGATCAGGGACGAGGTCGACGACATGGAGAGCGTCAAGGAGAAGCTTGTCAGGCCCTCACTGGCAAAACGCCTGGCACAGGCAGCATGTGTCACTGCGGCCTTGGTGAACCCGCTCAACGAGCTTGTGGGCATGGTCAAGCCGCAGGTGGACATCATGGAGATTGCCTGCTCTTCAACTTCAACCTTGACGAGGACCTTCGAGGACCATGGTTTCTATGGGAAGCGCATCAACTATCAGCACGGCTTTGACCTGGACTCCAAGAAAGGCACAGAGAAACTTCTGGCTGAGGTGAAGGCCGAACCTCCAAAACTGGGTTGGGCTTCAATGGTGTGCACTCGGATGAGTAGCCTGCAGAACCTGACACCTCGAACGCCAGAGCAGTTGGATAAGTTCTACAAGCGAAGAGGCCAAGACTTGAGGAGATGCGACGAAGTGGTCACTGCCTTTGAGGAGATCCTCAAGAATGACGGGGATGTCGCATGGGAGTGGCCCACATCAGCGGTTTCTGGATGGCGATCAAAGCCGCTACAGCGCTTAGAAAAGCTCATCAAGAAGTACCGCAAACAAGTCTATTGGGTGAGAATAGACGGCTGTCAGTATGGACTGGAGTGGAAGGGCACCCCGCTGAAAAAGGCGTGGACAATCCTTACGTCCTGTAGGGACCTCTGGTTGACATTGAACAAGCGGTGCGATCATACCCATGAGCACGCAGAATGTCGAGGTCCCGCAGCACAAGCGTCCGCATATTACCCAGCCTCCATGTGCAAAGCCATCGTGAAGGCAATGACACACGCTTGGAGGAGATCGGACAACACCACGACCCTTGCGGAGGCCTACCTGCTCAACATCGACTCCACCAAGGACGAGGTCACTACGGCTGATCTACCTGATCAACTCCATGGACACTCCTGTGGAGGACTACATGGACCTCATCTTGGACGTTCTTGCGGAGACCTTCATGATGAGAAGGCTGTGATGGCCCTGAGCCGTAACAAGCTGAACTTGGAAGTGGCTCCAACGGGAAAGAAGCTGGAGGCAGTGAAACAACTCATGCTGAGGGTGCACAGAGCCAGTGGACATTCAGGGATGAGCAACCTGGCCAACCTCTTGAAGGCGAAGGGTGCACCAGCATGGGCAGTCTCTTTGGCTTCAACGTTGGTCTGCCCTGACTGCATCGAATCGTCCAAACCGAAGCCCAGACCACCAGCGAGCATGGGAGAAACTCCAAGCATCTTCGAGGTGCTGGGAACGGATGTCTTCGAGTTTGAGGACGAGCCGAATCAGACCAAGTTCAAGATGATCCTATGGCGAGATCGCGCATCAGGACTGACGATGATCGACACCCTCAAGGTCTATGAGACTGGAGCTTGGGAACCAACATCCAACGACATCATCAAGAGCATGATGAAATGGCAGATGATCTATCCTACGCCAAAGTGGGTCTTTGCAGACGCTGCCAGATACTACTCCAGTGAGGAGTACATGGACTACCTCAACCGGGCAGGAGTTGGTTTGACAATAGCACCTGCCGAAGCTCACTGGATCATGGGATTTGAGGAGAGTGCAATCAACATTGCAAAGGGAACAGTGGCACGTCTTCTTCGAGAAGGTAGCAAGTTTTCTGTTCCCGACCTGTTCTCTCTTGCGGCTGCATCGATGAATGCACATGTGGGACCCAGCGGTTTCAGCGCATTTCAATGGGCTTTTGGAGCTGGTGGTGGACCCCTGGACGACGAGAAGTTGCTGGTCGGAGTTCAACCTGGGAAGTCCTTTCAGGGACTGGTGAAAGAGCGCGAGCGTGCAAAGATTGCCTTTGAACGAGAACGAGCTGCAGAACGTTTCTCGAAATTGGCAAATGCAACTGGACGCCAAGCATCCCAGTACAAGCCAGGGCAACTTGTGATGCTGTGGAGACAGAGAGTGAAACCTGGCAAAGTGAAGGGATCCTGGACTGGACCAGTCCGCCTCATCATGATGGAGGGCACGACTGCATGGCTTTCCAGTGGATCAACGCTCATCCGCGCCAAGAGCAACCAGATCCGTCCTGTTTCAAGTCGCGAGGAGCTGACTGCAATCATGGAGGGTACAGCGATCTATCGCACACCCGTCACTGTGGAGAACCTGATGAAAGCCTTCCAAGGGAGGTACTACAAGGACGTTGCTGTGAATGTTCCAAGTGATGATCTACAACGACAAGACCTTGGACCTTCTCAAGTACTTCAAGAACCAGCACAGCGTGGCACCGACTCTTGGACCCTGATCGAGGAGAACGGCACCCGCTTCCTTGTGAGGAAACATGTTCTACCACGACTCGCACTCTTCAACCCCTTGAGATCAACCAACTGTCCAGTGTCTCTGGATGAATTGACAGGCAACCGCATCACCACAGTTCAAAACGTGGCTGGAGGAGAACCTGCAACAATCAAGGACACCGTGGACATCCAACGGAATCTCCAAGACCGATGGACTGGAGAAACCAGATTCGAACTTCTATCACAACCTGGACCAGCACCAAAGCGACTTCGAGTTCCTGCACCAAAAGGTGAGAAGCGCAAAGCAGAGGACGAGAAGCCTGCTGCGGAGGAGGAAGATGAGATTGAAGATCATCCTGGCGATCCTCAAGATGAACCAGCGAGTGGATCTGCTGATCCCCCATCAACGCTGACAAGAGCTCTTCATTCCCGAGGACCTGATGTTTTGGATGGGACGCCCATCAAGAGCACCTCAGGAGCTTACAGATGCGCTGCTCCTGGCTGCACACTACCTGGTGGACATCAAGGCCTTCACAGGGATGACCAAGAGCGAGAGTTCATCTACGACGCCAAGGAGAACCAGCAGATGCAAGTGAATGACCCGGAGGAGGACCCCGCTATTCCGTCTTCTTCGTCTACCACAAGTGAGGAGCTGCTTCCAGATGATGATGATGGACAGCCAGATGGACGAGATGGCAACAACGAGAAGGAGGATGACGACTTCTTCATCGCCGTCACTGTGGGCTGCGATGAGCAGGACTACAACTGGCTGGCAAAGCACCGGCGCAAAGGCGCGGTATGGCTGAGCAAGAAGATGAGTGAGAAGTCAAAAGAAGTAGACTGGAAGAGACTTCCACTCTCAGAGAAGAAGGAGTTTGACGTTGCTCAGGCCAAGGAGATCAGCAATGTCATCATCAGCAAAGCTCTGAGAAACCTCACCAAGGCTGAGCTGGACAAGCTGGATGAGAACAAAGTAATGTCCATGCGGTGGGTTTTGACAAGGAAGACTGATGGAACAGCAAAGGCACGCCTAGTCATTTTGGGCTTCATGGCGCACAACCTGACCGAAGTGGCGACGGCAAGCCCGACACTTTCAAAGGTGGGACGAAACCTTGTGCTCACCCTGTCCTCCAACCTGAAGTTTGTGGTTCGTGGCGGAGACGTCACATCAGCATTTCTCCAAACGGGGATATCCTTGGAAGATGAGGAGTTGACGATTTGGGCACCGCCCGAACTGGCCGCTATGTTTGGAGCCGAGTATGGTGAACAGAAAGCTCTTCGAGTTTGCGAAGCTTTCTATGGCTTGGTCCATGCACCGCGCAAGTGGTATGAGCGCTGTGTACAGGTGATGAAATCTCTTGGATGGCGACAGCTTCAAGGTGACAAATGTGTCTACGTGCTCCTGGACCCCGAGACTGGCAAGATTTGCGGACTGGCTGGACTGCATGTGGATGATTTCCTGCTGTCCGGCGATCCCAATTCCACTTTCTTCGACAATGCCCAAGCAGCTTTGCTAAAGGCATTCAGATGGGGCAAATGGGAGACTGAGGAGTTCACTTTTGCTGGATGCCGCATCCGACAAGCTGAAGATTTCAGCATCACCTTGGACCAGGAGGACTACAACAAATGGATTGAAGAGATCAAGATCGACGCCACCCGATCTCGACGAGCTCTACTACTTCCTGCCGAAGTATCAGCTTTGAGAGGAGCCCTTGGAACAATCAGCTGGAGGGCGACGCAGACAGCGCCCCAGTACCTGGCTGACACCAGCCTACTTCTTTCAGAAGTTTCCAAAGGCACCGTGGAGACGCTCTACAAGGTGAACAAGCTGATCAGAGAGATGCGAGCCAATGCATCACAGGGACTGCTATTCCCTAGCTGGGGGAAAGAGATCAAGGAGCTGGCAGTGATCGTATGGGCCGACGCTTCACAGCACAACAGGCCCGACAAGTCTTCAACCATTGGCATCCTGGCCGGCATCGGACCTCGTGAGATGATCGATGGCGAAGAGCACCAACTTGCCATTGTTCAGTGGAAATCTGGGAAAACACCCAGACAGTGTTTAGGCTCAAACGGAGCTGAAGTCCAAGCTGTGACAATTGGCGAGGACATTTGCTGGAATCTACGACTTCTACTTGCTGAACTAGCTGGAGAAGAAGTTCGGAGGGACAACCTACATGAGATTGTCAAGGTGATCGATGGCGCCGTGGTCATGGACACACGTGGCATCTATGATGCGATCACTCGCAACCTCAGCCCTCTTCATGGACTTCGTGAAGCCAGAGCTGGATATGAGTTGACACTAGCGGTGAACCAGGGCATCCAATCAGGTGTCCAATTCCGCTGGGTCAATGGGTTAGCCCAACTGGCTGACGCAATGACGAAGGCCTCCAACCGCAAGATCCTGTTGCACCTCTTTGGACAAAAGCAACACTGGAGACTGGTGCACGATGAGAAGTTCGAATCAGGAAGACGCGTGCACAAGAAGGAGCTAGAGAAAAGGCTGAAAGATATGCAGGCCAACTTCGTGGCCTACGTGAAAGAGCTTGCGGAGAAGAAGAACTTTCCATGGACCAATGAAAGTCCAATTCGATATCACCCGCTGAACTAACAAAAGGTTCAGGTAGTTGGGGTGATGCAATGACAGCTGTGCATGACATAACACGTTACTGCATGTGAACCTTTTGAGACTGTTGCCCCTATCCGTAGGGAGGGGCTCGAGCACGCATAGCCCAAAGGAAAAGGGTGCATCTGCCTGCACCGACTGTGTGGCCTGGGTTGGTCACGTCCCTAGACCTCGTGCAATAACTGATAACTGTGATTATATTACATCATTATAATCCCATTAAAGTTTTTGCAGTTTATAAAATCATACATGGGATTTTAATGATATATATATATATATATATGTATAACCTTAGTTATAGGAGTTACTGGCATTATATCATTCTGAAATTCTATCTGGCATTATGTTTGGCATTTTATCTGAAATACATTTTACATATATATATACACATACGTAAATGCATGTATTCTGACGTTCTATCTGGCATTCTTTGTGGCATTCTATCAGACATCTGGCGCTTGCGGTTGAGGTCCGGCAGTGCCAACTGATATCTGGCGCTTGCGGTTGAGGTCCGGCAGTGCCCATTGAGATCTGGAGCTTGCGGTTGAGGCCCGGCAGTGCCCACTGAGATCTGGCGCTCGCGGAAGCGGGCGGCATGCAGCTCTGCTAAAATAAATAATCTATATAGAAAGCCTCACCCCTCACCTGGCAGGTGTGGAAAGATGAAAGTCATAGTTATAGATGGTTTTTTCAAAATCATTGGTAGAACCATCAACAATAGGGATGTCAACCATTGATGGGCATCAAAAATGATGGTGCGCCAGTTTGGATTTGTTCAAGATGAAAGCGAATTGGTTCGTCAGTAGAAAAATGTTCAGTAGGTTAACCATAGGATTTATGATATATGGTACGTATTTAAAGTAAGTGATGTGGAATAATTTAATCCTCCGATTTTCTGTTTCTATCATCCGTTTACGCCTGCAGTCTATTTTTTGTTTTGATGGTCATTCAATTTATTTGTGTAAAACCTCCAACCTAGTCTGCTAATATGCCTATAGTTACTAGAAAGATCCTGATTTTTACAGGAGAAAACAGGTACAACTCATGATCATGGACAGTTTTTGACCTGTTCAGACAAATCCGCGTCGATTGAGCTTACGACATGAATCATCCATGAAAAAATTAAGTCTTTGTTACTCGTACCCTCCGGTCAAACATGAAACATCACCCATGGATTGTGTTCGCATCAAAATTTCCATGTGATTACCGAAGGGTACACCCAAAGATAACCATGACGATCGCGTGTTTTCCACCATGTTTCTTCCGTTTTTTCGATGATTTTGTTTCGCCTTTCAGGCGTTGAAAGGTCTGAATATCTCCGATGATCTGCGGAGAGCTCTTCAGGTCCCATCGGGCCCAGCGGTCGCAGAGTGGTCATGGTTGGATTTTGCACACTTTTTGGACATATTCTCGAAATCATGCATTTATGCCCCATGAATCCAGAAATTCATTCCACTTCACTGATACTGGAACATCATGTTTTTTCTTTGGTTTTTAAGATGTACCAATAAAGGTTGTTTTCATATGCGTTGTATACTGACATACCCTCAGGTAATCTAACATTGTTTTGGAAAAACAACATTGAATTAATAGGCAAACCATTTGTAATTTTATTTAAAAACAAATCTATAAATAGGAGTGCCTCATCTAAGGGTATTTAGAAACAATCTAACGAGAGGTGAAACGGTCAATTATCGTTGATCTATCTATAGTTAAATGGATTAATATACCAACACATAACTGGATTGTACCACATTGTTTTAAACTGTTCAATCAACATTTGAAAGGAACGCCTCAAAACAAGGAATGTGCGGTGATATTGCTGGCCGGGTTTCAATAGTTTGCTTCGAATATCCATGGAAACAAAAAAACAATAAACAACTCTGATTTTGGACTTTGTCTCACATTATTTCATTCGTACTTGAAAACCCCTTGGAGAAAGAGTTTGAAATGCAGGAGAACAACAACAAATTTTAGACATTAACCTTCCAAATACTCCATTCAAAAGCGGGTCTGCAGAGTCTGCACCTGGCAAAGTGCGGTGGTACCTCCCACTGATGATGTACAAACCCATCTATATAAGATTCTATATTCTATATATATATTATTATAACTGATTATAGCCTATCATTTTGGGGGGCACCATCTGACGAGGAGGCACAACAATGGCAGCCGGAAGTGGAGAGACTGCCAGGCCCATGAGCCCGTGGCAGCAGTTTCCCATGTCTTGTTGGAATCCTTGGTGCTCCAAAAGAACGTAGTTTCCAATATCCATGACATTTAAATCTCCAATTAATGATACACGTAAAAAAGGTGTGAGCTAATGGTTGTCTAACTTGACATACTCCTGGCAAAACAATCATAAACCACCAATTTGGGAATGGTAACCATACCAACTATTTATGGTGATTTGGTCAATGGCCATTTCAGGAACCTAAATTGGAGGTACCAACCATATATTTTTGGCCTATGTAAGGGAATATCCCAGCAAAATATGGCCAAAAAAATGGTACGTTTACGTACCTCCATCAATTGGATCCTGAAATTCCGATCTAGAAGACTTGATGAGAAATTGAATCTATGAGTTGTTTCCACTGGTTTTTGTTCTCTCCCTCCCTCGGGAAAACGAGCTCGCTCGAGGCGCCTTGAGAGACAAGGATCCTACGGAGTTTGCGATCGCCATCAGGTGCTGGCGCCGGCGGGACTTTTGGTGCTCCTAACATGGGGGGGGTTCCTGAAAAATGGGGGGGGTACCAAAGTCACCATTTGGGTTTCAATACTAGAGTCTTAGTTACTAGAGTGGTCGTTCATGACTTGGGTGATTTGGGGTTACCCCCATTTGAGGAAACCCCCATATGAATGTAGGGCACACCATCCAGTACCCAAATATGGAGATGCACGTGACGAACATAGGTGATAGATCAAGGAACAGATGAAAGTGCACGTGTAGAGTGCAAGGAATGAATGAAGATCCTTTTGGATTTTGGCTGATCTGGATGGAATTTTGTAAAGTTACTTGTTGTTGGATATGTGTGATTATGTTTTTAATTGTTTTGTAATATGTTACAAATCCCAGAAACTTAATTTTAAATCTTTGCATGTGGGTCCTTGGTCGTGTTACCAGGGAAAATGATAAGTACAAAATCCTTTGCCAATGGAGCAGGTGTTATCACCCAAGCTACTTCCCTCTTTGTACATGTATAGAATCTACGCAACTACATACCTACAAGGTGGTGCCCCCTCCCAGTTGTAACTTCAGTTTATAACACCATTAGCTGTAGATATGATGAATCTATCACAAATCCAACTGTTAGCCTAGTTATATACCAACTTCGCCATCCCCATGGTTTGATGGTCAAATCATCATCATGTTCCATGTTGTTTGATGATTAACAAACTCGGAGAACTACCTTGTATAGATCCCAATATGTTTGTCTCAACCTCCCCCGATCTCCATGGGAAACCCATCTCGTGGGGAATCAGCTCCCAAAAACAATCATGTCAGATTGATGAAGTCCAAAAGCATGTGTGAGAAACAAAATCTGGAAATACATGATCTACAAAAAAAACAAATATAAGATACAAAATGTATATAATTACTATGTATACACACTACTTGTACTATATATATATATATATATACACGCAATCATACACATATCAAACATCGTGGGTTGCACATGGGAGGCTCTCGGAAATGAAGGGCAGCCAGGGCAGTCCGTCAGATCTACAGAACTACCAGATCATGGCTGAGGAACTGCTGGCGCAGGCGGGACTGGAGGGCACCACCGAAGATGGTTTATTTTATGATGGAGAACATGGAACTAACAACGGATGTTGATATGGTTTAGTACTGTTGAATATATATATATATATATGTGTGTGTGTGTTTGTGTCAGTTTTTTTTTTTTTTTAATGGGCTTAACAGATACTAATTACTTTTTAATGGTTGAGTTGGTCGTGGCTGATAAATTTCAGAACCCTTCATGATGCGGTTCATGATACGGTTTGAGTTGTTTCAATATTGATATTTACATGAACTTTCCGATGGGTTAGCTACGTTGAATACGGTTTTAGCATTGCATGTGAAAAGAAACAATTGAATTGCTAACAACTTCTTGTACTGAGTACTGATATCACACCAACACGGGAACTTAAGCAGCGAGGCTTTGAGCAACAGAAGAGATAGGTCAAGCAGCCAAATTGGGGTTGTAGACACCGAGAGAGACAGGGATTCTACGTGATTCTAACAACAAAGATGGACAAAAATAGGGGCAATGAGACTCATGTATATAGAGACGTGATATCAACCGTGATGTGATGATACGTGTATACGTAAATATACACATATAATAGAGAGAGAGAGAGAGTGAGATCAGTAGCCAATGTCAATCGTCAGTTAACTACAATAAGAGATTGGTTAAACCCCATTTCCTCGGTCCATCGTACATTATTGTTGGATATTGTTGACTTATTACAACTAGATATCCCCTGGGTTTGTCCAAATGATATTGGAGATCTCGGAAGTTTCATAATCTATTTTCAGGTTCCAGATTGAAATATGATATATTGGCATATTGGGCATATAAATCCATCATTTTTGACCAAGCCACTGGTCAACCTGCAAAACGAGGGTATAACATCAACACGCCTGGGAACTTTCTCTGATTTGAGGGAAACTGGTGTGCAAATCCAGATTTTTAAGTACCACTACGACACAGCACAAGACATGGATTTAATCGCAAGACTTCACAAGGGTCAACCAAGCAAAAAAACTGAAGTATGTGGAAAACACCCAAACTGGTTGGTGGTTTCAAACATGAATTTCATTTTCCATTTCATAAATGGGATGTCATCCTTCCCATTGACGAACTCATATTTTCAAGATGGTTAAAACCACTAACCAGATATATTTTCCCATATATTTCCCTATATTTTCCCTAAACAATGCAGTATTATTGCAGTACTATTTGGGAAAACACCCAAACTGAACTTGTATTATTGCAATGCAGGACATGTCACCTAAAGTTAGAAGTTGTTTTTTCTGCGCCCATCTAACTGTAGACATCGGCCACTTTGTTAAACGTTAACATGTTGTAACTAACTTAGATATCATAAGTCCGTTTTGAATCTCATAGTATGTTCCCTTTTTTTGTTTCAATCAGTGACATCCGAATGGTTTCGGTTGTTTTTGGATGGTTACCCTCTGGTAAACATACAAAAAGCTATTGAAAATGCCCATTTATAGTGGATTTACCCATTGAAAATGGTGATTTTCCATAGCTATGTTAGTTTACCAGAGGGTAAATAATTGTTCCCTTCGGTTCCCTTCTTTTTTGTTGGTTGAGTAGCAATTTCCCCATGTTTTTCCTGGTCGCAACGTCGCAACCCTAGGCGAAGGACGGGATCTTGCCCTCGCAGATCCTGCGGACGGCCGTGGAGGAGATGTAGCGGGCAGTGACTGCAGTGAGATCATGGTGAATTGAACGATAGTGAACCAGAAATCAGTGAGATCATGGTGATTTACCTATTAACATGACCATTGAAATAGTGAGTTTTCCCATTAATAGCATGATGATTTTCCAGTTCGTTATATATCATTTTACTATATATCTGGTTGATTTAGCTATTAACAATGGTTATATTATGACTCAACAGTGATTGTAATAATAGTCACAAAATAGTCACCAAATAGTCACTTAACTATCCATATAGTTATCTGGTTGGTGGTTTGGAACATGAATGGATTATTTTCCATAATATTGGGAAATTCATCATCCCAACTGACAAAGTCATATTTTTCAGAGGGTTCAAACCACCAATCAGATGAGAATAGTTATAATTTCTATTAAGAGTCAAAAAAAACATCCCAGCCACCTGAGAATAAATGTTCCTGGTTTATAAGTGGTAATTTCGGGCCATAACTGCAGGGAATATAAGGGAACATATGGGAAAACCATTGGATTTGAGTGGTGGATCATCTGGATCTGTCAACAGTCTCTGGATCATTGGAGGTATAACTCAACGGCCGGCGCTGGGGCGGCCGGGCGAGCGACTTCGCAGGAAGCTGAAGAGTGGGCAGCCGAGTTTCCGCAGCTGAAAGGCGAGGCTTCCAGAAACCAAATGCACCGGAGAGTTTTTTGGCCCAAGTAACAGCTATAAACGGGATGAAGTAACTCCAAAAACTAGTTGGTTATAAATATATATATATATATATCATCCTAATCCCATTTATAACTGTTAGTTGGGCCGGAAGTGCCAACGGCTGTTTATGGTGGTTTACCAACCATGTTTGATTACTAGATTTCTTCGACTACGAGGGTTGCCTTGTCTTCAACCTACTTGGGGATGTCAATTACTTGCACCCATCCCTGGCTGGGTTTCCAGGGTAAAGGGAGTATTGCCAATCCCGCCTAATAGCCAAATGTTACATTCAGATATATCCACATAATTCCATTTATATCCGGATATAGCCAGATAAACTCAGATATACCAAACAATAGCCAGATATATGATGATATGTGTATATATATATTATATATATATCCAAATCTATTGCCCTTTTGATTCCATTCCTGGGAGACCGGATGACATGAAGCAGCCAGGTGCACAGAAGCGCTTGGCGATGGAAGAAAAGAAAGACGCCGCGAGGACCAAGCTGCGAGGCTGGCGGCCATTGGACCATGGCGAGTTGCAATGTGATTTCGTTGGAAAGGACCCCCCTCCGGTAATCTAAGATACAGTTTGGGCCATTTACCAGTTATAAGTACTTATAAATTACTTAAAATGTAATCTATGGTATGTACAATCCCAAAGAAATTACCAGTTATAACTACAGTAATAAATGACCACAACTGTAGCGATTGAAATTTGGTTACAGTAACAATGGTGTATAACAATGGGTGACAACAATGGGTGATAACAATGGATGATAACAATGGATACCCATCGATTAGTATATATATAGTTAGTTTCTTACGGTTAATAGTAGATTACAGTATTAAACCAATAGATTGGTATATATGAACATTGCCACATATTAAGTATTAACTAGTATGGATCAATTATTTCTATATGAACATTGCCATTCATAGTTGATTTGACTTACCCAGCTACAAAATGGTGATTTTCCATAGTTATGCAAACGTTTACCAGAGGGTAATGGAAATTGCTGTGGGAATATTTAGAGAAATATAGAGAAATATATACTGTAGGATAAATAGAGAAACATATAGAGAAATAGAGAATACAGGAATCTTTTGATAATCTGTTGATAATATTTAAGTAATCATGTTCTATCTATTATTATGGGTGAATTGTATTGACCTCATTGGCGACTGATGAAAGATCGGACTCATGGATAATGGTGGAACATGTTTCAATGGATGCTGGGAAAATCCTGAAACAGCAATTTGCCATGCTTTTGTGGTGAACAGTGAATGGTTAAAATGGTTGCCATCTGGTTATTTAACATAGCTATGGAAAATCCATTATAAATGGAGGTTTTAATAGGAAAATCATCTGTAACTGGGCCATTTTCCATAGCTATGTTAAATAACCAGAGGGTAACATATACGTAATTAGTTTAACATAGAAATGGATAGAAATCCTGAAGTCATGAAACATCCTGCTAGAAATGAACCCAGCCAAGGTTAGGCACTTATCGTGTATGTTGATAGGGAACACGTATGAACACCTGCCCTTGAGTCACATTGTTTCTCTCGGAACAATCCTTTGGACCCCAATTGGAGATATTGTAGAGATGTTTCACTTTAAATCAAACAGTTTGGAATCAACAATTTAAACAAGATATTAATAGGATAATAGCAACTTATCAGATACTTATTATCCCCGTTAAGTGCCTGAAGTGAAAATATCTAAAATTAGTGGTCTCAGCACCAAGGTTGCTTACTTCAACCCGGTCTTTTGCTATCAGGGAGTCAAGATGGCAGCGGCACTGGCCGAAAAAGAGGACAGATGTCTTATCGTGGCACCTCAGCGATATTCATTCATGCTTGAACAGTTTCCTTGCCATGCTGTGCTACGCTGCACAGAAGGACGAGGATCTCTCTTAGTTGCATCATCCTCCGCTGAAGTGTTGAAGGCGCTTTGCACGAAGTGGCGTCAAGCGAAGATCAAACATCATCAGGCCCCAGGATTGGTCCAGTGACAGTGTATGCATAGTTTTGTTTTGACATTGAAGCAGCACTGGTGCAATTGCACTCGGCCCTGGGCGTTTGCCGCGACAATGTATGCATGTGAAAGCAAGACATGCTGCCGTACCGACTTTTCCGGGCAATGCATTTGGCATGAGTTTCAATAAATAGTTTTCTGACCAGGCGCTGTAGGAGATATTATATGAAATTATATACTTTATAATATATATATATATATGTATATAGTATCATTATATATGTCTTTCTTACCATACAGTTTCCCATAAAAAAGTTCCCATATGTTCCCACATATTTCCATATACCCTCTGCTAAACGTTTACATAACTGTCTATGGAAAATCACCATGCTTTTAATGGGAAAACTCACTATTTCTATGGCCATTTTCAATAGCTATGTTGGTCATTACCAGAGGGTCTCCCATTAATTAATCAACTATTACTAGTACTGTTAGTTTCAATATCCCATTGTTAATTATCCCATGAATAATCCCATTAACTATTTTTTTCCATATATGTCCCTATATTTTTCCCAATGAGGCGCCTTGAAAAGTAGCGATCCGGCGGAGATCGCGCTGGCCATCAGGTGGCGGGCGGGCGTTTGGCGGCTTGTTTGGCGGCGACTCGTTGTGTGAGAAAATCGGAGGTATGTGGAAATTATGGGAATCTATGGGAAAAATATGGGAAAAATATGGGAAAAATATAGGAAACATATGGGAAAAATATGGGAAAAATATGGGAAAAATATAGGAAACATATGGGAAAAATATGGGAATCTATGGGAAAAATATGGGAAACTATGGGAAAAATATGGGACATGGAGGTTTTAATGGACAATTTATCAAGGAAAGATATGGAAAATATATGGAACTTATATTGGAAAATATTGGAACATCCACTAAACAAACTTATGCATGGAGGCTCATATAACTGAGAAAATCCTCGAACTAAATGGTGGATTTTCCAGCAAGCCATGTTTGATTGCCGGAGGGTACAGAAAAAACCCAGAATTTGACGTGAAATCGGAAGAATAAATCTAAAGTGATGGGAAGTGGCGATATGTGTGTTTCCATAAATGGGTGATCCCCAAAATGGTTGGTTGATAACGGAAAATCCCATCTATAGATGGATGAGATATGATGAGATGATTTCAGGAAACCTCCATATGTTTGGGTTGCATGTATTTGATGGAGGCTGCCATACATCCCAGCCGCGTGGCCCGACTGTCAACTCGGTAGATGTGGAGGTGTGAAAATCTCAACATTGATGGGCTCTACGCACTCACAAATCTGCAGGGGTTGGTAAATGTCCTGTGTTGGGGATTATATATACAATGTGAGGCCCCCGTTAGATATTGGTTAACAAAAGCCCCAGTAACTATAGTTATAAATACCATAAACCATAGTTATTGGAGTTATAAACCAACTTAGCTACCTTGGGGGCCTCACATTGTATATATATAATATTATATACATATTCACAGCACTTTCAGCCAAAGTTGGAAAATCCACAATCGTTTGGTGATGTGAAGAATTTGGACATTTACTCACCCATGTTCTGGAAAAACCATAATATAGGGTTTCACAGCTGTATTGCGTGAGTCAGAGTTGAAGTGGGGGGCATGATAAAACCTTAGGTCCTCGATCTGTATGGTTGGCAACTCGTGGCAAGCTGTGGCACCCATGTGAGTTCCCGTCCAGTAAAAATCAAACGTGGTTTGGTGCACAATCCTCACTTTAGTCCCCAGATCTAGATGACCACTTACCGGTTGGTGGTCTGGAACATTTCCATATTGGGAATAATAAGCCCAACTGACTAAGATTTTTCAGAGGGGTAGGTCAACCACCAACCAGTTTAGTTCGAGGATTTCCCATTATCCATGTTTGACACTGGATGGTAGATTCATGTAGGTTCCATATGCCATCAACAATAGGATGAGGATGAAGCACTAGCGTCAGCTTGTCAGGTCAGGCAGGGAGTCGCAACTTGAGGCGGGTTCTTTTCCGCTGAAGACGTGGCTGGAAAATCGCATGTTTCTCTCGGTTCTTATGAGATGGGAAAACATTTTTTGAACACATGGGATCATTATTAGAACATATCAGAACATTGGTGAAATTACATTAAATATGGGATACTTGGGAAATAAATGAGGGATGATTTGTCCTTCATTATCCTTGATAGGTAATTGTGGTAATCAATGACTATTATCTATAAATGGTGATTTTTCTGGGTTAAACATTATTGGAGGGTTCCACAACTCTGTTCGGAATGGGTATCTACTCGTTTTGATGGTCAAGGTACTTGCAAAGATTCCCCAAAATTCTGGAAGTGGTTTGTATTCTGACCGCATGCTGTCCACCAACCGTGGTTTCGGATGTGAAAACCGAGGCGCCCCCATGGTCTTCTTACAACAGGTGTGTCTTCTTTTTCGCTGGGAAGACAAACAAACTCTTTGACGGCCCTGTTATCACCTTTTCAGGGTAACACGATAATATACTTGACTAAAACTCAAGCCACTGGGTAAGCTCTAAAACATCTGGTTGGTGGTTTGGAACATTTTTAATTTTTCCATATATTGGGAATAATCATCCCAATTGACTAATATTTTTCAGAGGGGTAGGTCAACCACCAACCAGACATGTTTTGATCACAAGACTGAATGGACTCAGACTCAACCATGGAAACATAATGTCAGGTGTGTCCCAGACTGTGGAGCCTCAGAATCCAATAAAGATATGGTTCGAACGGCCTCGCTAAAGCCCATAACTGGCATCATGTGGTCAATGACTATATGACCCTCTGGTGAACATTCACATAGCTATTGAAAATGGCCATAGAAATAATGAGTTTTCCATAGGTTTCCCATTAATAGCATGGTGATTTTCCATAATTATGTAAGTTTACCAGGCCGGCTACATTGTTTTAGATGATGTGTTCACATCACAAGCATCCGAAAAGTCACAATGATCATCAATGACCCAACATAGGGTTTTTCCTGACCCTGTGGCTTGCTGGTAGCTTCTGTTTTGGCGGACTGTCTCAGACACCCCAATTTCTGTCTGTGTAGTTAAAAGAAAAACCCATGATAAACACATAGATAGACACACAGATAATCACATGTAATACATATAAACACATAGATATAGACGATATAGATATATTATAAACGCATAGATAAATAACACATAGATAAACACATAGTGTTTAAAGATGTTTAAAGTGTCCATGGGTTTAATTCACTATGTTCTACCACATGGTCATAACATACTTGACGACATCAACATCCATTTACCAGCTATGTTTATGTTCAGCAGGGTACAGGGTTTTGACCCATACGCAAATCTATCCACATGTAGTATTGTTGTCCCCAAGAAACCGAGCTGAGTTGGTATATAACCACCATATTGATAGCTAGGATTTATATATGGATTTATGATAGATATCTCCAAGTGTTTAAACTCGGTGGTTCCATCTTATGCAGGACTGGGAGATGAACCCTGCCGTGGGGAAGCCTGAGATACACCAGCGGATCCGGCTGGTATTTGTAGGTGACACACAATATCATAGGATATAAGGGTCGTTACGGTGTCCAGCAAATTTGCTAGTTTTCAGTATGAACTTTCAAGTTTGGGTCAGGTTGGGTCAAGGTCGGAACTCTGTACTTTGCACCTTCCAATCGTGAAGCGAGGACATGACAGCTTCACCCCATTTGATTCGGGGATTTCCCAAAACACTTTGCGAACTGGCAAATCGCCATGGGTATGTAAATAATCCATCAACGGGCTATTTTCAATAGGCCTATGTTCAATAGCATTGAATTACCAGAGGCTAATCTTTCAATTCGCAAGACTGGAAATGAATAGAAACCGGAAAAATGAATCCACACAAGTGAGCTTATTAGTTTCAATGATATAAAATGAATAGAAACTATGAGATCCCACAAGGTGGTGCCCCCCCAGTTATAAGTTGGTTTATAATCCCCATCAACTATAGATATAACCCCCATAAACCCTAGTTATTGGACTTATTGGCACCAACTTAGCTAACGAACTGGGGCACCACCTTGCAGAGTTCAGTCTTTGGGTTCCACTTCAAGGATCCGGCTTTGGAGATTGAACAGCCACGGATTTTCTCACCTCCAGGCGTGGTTCGACATCGACTGGAGACACCCCATGTCGCCATGTTTAGATTGGATAGTTCCATGAATATGTTCATGCAATCCCCATGATCCATGTACAATATGTTATATTATATATAATATGTATGTGTATATATATATACATATAGCAATATAGTATATATATATTATATAATGATAGTGTATATATATACACATATATATAATGATATATATATATATGTACATCCATTCATCCATTTGTTTGCTGTCCATGTACCACTGGCATCGAGGAACGCGCGCTGGACTCCATCCGACGGGACATGATGAACACCTTGGCACAGGCAGCCGTTGTCATTTCCTAACGTTGTGAAAAAGCCCTAAAAACCATAGGAAAACCATAGGAAAACCATAGAAAAACCAATTATAAATAGCTTAAATCAATTTTAAATCATCACTTTACCATCGAAAAAGCCATATGGTGGGCCTTGTCATCGGGATACTTCGGATTATACACATATATATATATATATATATATATTTATTTATTTATACATATACATATCGGATAATATTTTCTGATCAAATCGAAAAGCCACAAAATCAAAACCACGCTGATTTGTGAACACATCGATTGTAAAGCCCAGAAACTATGTTTCTGCACAAGTAAAGAGCTGTGGCAATCTCGAACTACCTGCACAACTCTACTTGCATTCATTGTCATCTTTATTTTTGTTGGCAGAACCTATATTTATTGTTTGGGTATAGAAGACCTTTAATTATGTCTCATGGAAGTTGGTTGCAAGCAAAGTAGCATGACATTGAGCATCAAACCTTGTAACCCAATCTGTGTAGAAGCGTTTACTGATGGAAGCAATGGGCGCCTCAGAGTCAAACCAATGGAATCGTCCGACAAATCTAGCCATGTTATTTGGAAGTGTACCAGCATTTAACCCAGTCATGTAGGCAAAAGAGGCAAATGTACCAGGAAAATGCATGAAAATGCATGGTAGCTGATTGCTGGTTTCAAACACTTTGGATTTCCAAGTGAGGAATAGGTTCTCAGCGTTGACTCCGCTGACAGGCGGCGATAGTGTGAAAGAACGGGCTGCGAGTCTTCCGTAGTGAAGCAGTTGCCCGGAAGGCGCCAACATAGCCGAAGAAATCGTGGTACTGGTATTGTACGAATCCAGAAGCATACCGCCGTTGATAGATATTAGCATTAGCCACCCAACAATGGGGATACCTATTTACCAACTAGTGCAATGGGATAGGATATTTGTTATGCCTCATATGGCCTTGTTTGAACATGGGGTACAGCAAAAACCATTGGTTTATCCTCTGGAGACAAGCCTGTAATTACGGCTACCTGGAGTAGGCCCCCCAGGACTAGTGGCAATGCCCGGTATTTTTGGATCGACATCTTTCGGTACTGCATGGGATGGAAGTCCAGAGAAAGTAAAGGGCTCTTAATGAACAACAGCCGGGCATTGAGACCGCCAGTCATAGCAATGTGTGCTGTCTTCCGAGTGCAGAACTTTGAGATTCAAGATCATTTTGCAGATGGCAAGGGTTCTGCAATGCGGACTAAGAAGGAACACTTACACGATAGTTCCCAAAAACACGGGCATAACCTCAGACAACCACAGACCATAGATCGTATTCCAGAAACGTCCTGATTACAGAGCCACGGTTACATCTATCATTTACCCTCTGGTTATTTAACATAGCTATGGAATCCATGGCCATTTTTATCCATTTTTATGGCCCATAGAAACAGATGATTTTCCCAGCTAGAAACCTCCATTTATGGTTGGGATTTGCCATATGTTCAATGACCAGATGGTAGGTGCTTCGAACGCTTCAGCGCCTCGATTTGCCGCTGTCGTTATGTTGGCGCCGGCACGCTTGACACAAAAACGATGTGGAAGGTGTCCGGTATCTACAGTTATGGGAATGGCTATAAACGTTGGAGAACTGGTTATTTCTATGGGATACATACTGTTTGTATGGGGGTTTCTTAGTACTTATAACTGGTATTTCGGGCCACAGCTGTATGTATATGTAATAAGAATATATATATATATAGTTAATTTATGTTAAATCTGGTTTGTAAAGCAACACACGCACATAACTTGGGGGCGGCACCACTTGATAGGCCCTTAGGCGAATCGATTCGGTTCTATCACACAAACATTAAACATGCAAAAGTATACATTGTCATGTTAGCGATGATCAACTTGTCTCATCTCCGGATTGGTTGAGGTGAAATTCACAAGAAGCCATGGCTTTGATATGCTTTGATTACTTATCTACTCATCTAGAGATAAATGGTGGTGCCCCAGTTATAAGTCTGTTTCAACCCCCCGGTCACATATATAAAGTATAAAGTTATAATAAGTTATATATATATAAATATATACACCATAAATTCAGTCGTTAACCTACTTCAAAGCCATCTTAGCCAAGGAACTGGAGCGCCAATCGTATGCCCCAAGCCGCAGCCACTGGGTCCAAGTCAGCCGCAGTCCTATCGTATCGTCGTATCGTCGTAGAAAGCACAGCATGGGCAGCGGCGGAAGCAGGGCCTGGAGACTCAAGGGACCGGGACCATTTCTGGTGGCTTCAACTATTGTTATTTGATGTTTATTAAACTGTTTAACTAATAAACATCTATTATAAACACAATGATATATAACTAATATATGATGTTTGTATATATATATGTTTATTTGATGTTATTTGATGTTTATTTATACAATGTGAGGCCCCCGTTCGATAGCTAAGTTGGTTATATATACATATAGAATTACATATATATGTATATATAGTTATATACATATACCCTCTGGTTATTTGTAACATAGCCATGGTATAAATGGCCCATAGAAATAGATGGTTCATTGAACTTAAAAATGGTGATTTTCCATGGCTATGTTAAATAACCAGATGGTACTTGTATATATGTTTAATCTATGTTTATATTGTTCCCCACCTGCCAGCCTGCCAGGTGAGGGTCTCTAGATTTTAACAAAGGTGCCACTCCTCCTCTTCTTCCTCTCCTTTTCCTTCTTTTTCTTCTTCTTCTTGTTCTTCTTCATGTTGTCCTCCTCCTTCGCCTCCTCCTCGCATGCTGCACTTGCTGCACTCGCTGCCATATCGCCAGCTCCGAATGCTGTGGAGTGTGCCTGACCCTCAACACCATATCGCGAGCTCCGGATGCTGTGGAGTGGGCCTGGACCCGAACTCATGCCAGAAAAAAAATGTATATACACATGTACCAGTATATATATATATGTCAGATAGAATGCCATAAAGCCTGCCAGATTGAATGTCAGAACAAATATCAGATGGAATGCCAGAAAGAATGCCAGATAGAATGTCATAAATGTTTCCAGATGATATGTCTGAAACTATGTCAGAATTGTGTGTCAGGGTGGGGATACATACTATTGGTATGTTCAACAGGGTCAACACCATGTGGAATGATGGTCCCACCTGACGAATCTGTTGAAACACTGGAAGGTTTCCATAATGGAACAATCCATAGGCTACAAGGTGGGCAGATTGCCACGCCCTCCCCTGTCCAAATACATGCAGCATTTATCGTACCCTCTGAGAAGGTGTTAGGCCCCAAAAAAGCCCCCCCCAAATGGCCGTCTCAAGAGGTGTTTGGAGCCCTAAGGATAATACATAATATTGATTACATTCTCATTTTATTTTAATCCTATTCTTATCTCATTCACCAGAACTTATCCATATTCTGGGTAATTATGCTTTTATTATCTGATTATCCAATTCTGATCCCATATTACTTTCTACTTATTGAACATAGCTATGGAAAATGCTCCACAGAAATAGATGATAAATATAAACATGATGATGATCCTATTAGGTCCTATTAAACATGGCTGGTTGGTGGTTTGGAACATGAATGGATTATTTTTCCATATATTGCATACAATGTTGGTGCCCATAGTTCGCTCACGTGGTTATAGGTAGGCTAACTAGGATTATCTAGGATTGTTGGAAACTATCCATAGCTGGTTGGTGGTTTTGGACAATTGTTTTTTTCCGTATATTGAGAACAAGCATCCCAACTGACGAAGTCAATCATTTTTCAGAGGGGTAGGTAGGTCAACCACCAACCAGATGGTGATAGCTGCCATAGCAACCCCTGCCATAGCGAGCTGCCCGTCTCTAGGCCACTTTCAGGGAGAACGCCACGTCTCCCTCGGATCCCTCCTTGAAGAGCGCCGTCTCGGATCCCCTGGACGAGTCGGATCCCCTGGAGACTGGTGCCAGTTATAGGATGTTATAAGATGTTATGTTATAAGATGTACCGCATGAACTGTAGATTTGATATACATATATATATATATATTATACATATATATATATATTATACATATATATATATGTATACATATAATATATATATATATATATTATGACTATATATGTACATCTGCCATAAATCCTTGCGAACCCAAGTAAATAATTACTTGTTGGCCAACTCAGTTAAGTATGGGGCATGACCTTGTAATCACCGTTTGTTTCTTGCACGGTAGTCGTATCTACGATTTTTCCTGATTTGGGTCTTAGACCCCAATGTTTGTTTGAAGATTCCAAACTAAAAAAAAACGGGAAACAACATGGAAATGCATGATGCAGCATACTTCGCAATACCTGATCCCCACAGGAGATACACAGGCAAACAGCTCTCCAAATTCAATGGGGTCACTAGACTTTTCTATTTGATCCCTGTCAAAAAACACAGTTTTCATTTAATTTCGAACATGTCTTGGCAGAATTTCTCGGTCCCGAAACGATGGCCCAGGCTGAAGTTCACCGATGAAGCTTTTTGGTGCCTGGGAAGCTAGGGGAGTTTGGCGGGGAGATCCCCTTTCAAGTTGTGTTTTTTTTGGCTTTAAAACCCATGGTATCGTAGAGTTATATCATGGTTTATCCACCGTAAACCCAAGAAAAAACCGAACAACTGATGTTGCCCAACTTGGGGATCTCACTCGCCTGGATTCATGAAACTGGTTGATGGATTCTGCGTCCTTGGTTTTGAAATGCCCGCTTTGATAACTCATGTTCCTGGCGGTCTCCCCCATTTCTCCTGAAACTGGGTCGGCGGATAAATCCTTATTTTTGCTGCTCGATCCCCGTGTTGGCGAAATCCCAGTTTTTGTTTTGCTGAAAACTCCACAACCACTTCTACTTTTGTAGCTGGTCAAATCCAAATGTTTTTGCTAAAACATTGATCTCCATAAAAAAAGGCAATGTTAGTGACATCCAAAATCCTGCTGCATAAATCTTTGTCTTTTCTGTGTGTGTGTGTGAAGTCTCTCATTTTTCCTAGTGATTCATCAGGGTTTGGGAAATGTCCTTTATTTCTGCTTCAAGTATTTGTTGGAGATTATCCGGAGATTATATCCGCAATATATATATATATAGTATATATAGTTTGGTGATGCTTACAGTAAAACATTTACCAACGTCCCTTTCCACGGTTCCCGCTTGCCAGGAAGCATTTGGGCGCCCTGAAACGAGAACCGTTGGCTCTGCCTCTCAGCATGAAACGAGCCCGCCATGGTCTCGCGTGGATTGGATTTCACCAAGAAAAATGCTAGTTGAACGGTGGTTGAATGAGATAGTGATGTAGATTTGATGAAATATATACTGTATACTGTATATTATATATAATTTGATTGGTTTCATCCATCTTTGGGAGTCTAAGAAATTCATTTTTGGTCAGGGAATCAGAGTTGATGTCATTTAAGATGCTTGGATTCCCACGGCAAGACTCGACCATGGCACATGTGGTCCATTTATTCTTTTGGATGCACAGTTCTTTCCTGAGAAGGTACTGACCCCCAATCACTTCAACAGGAATCATAATAATCATAACCAAGTTGGTTGGAATCCTACTGATTTTTTCCTGGTTGAACATGGATCGAAATACACCATTATAGAAATAAAGGCTCAAATATGCTCACCACTTAAAGCAAAGAACTGGGATTGCAAACCCAAACCATCAACTACAGGCTCTTGCTTGAATGGTGGCGTCATTTCTTATCATTTCTTCGTAACTTTTGGGGATTTTTTCAATTTTTCGGTATGATTTCAAAAAAATTGAGGATCAGTCGGATCAGTCGTCCCTTGGAAGTGGTCCAGTGAGGGGAATGGTTCCAGTAATTTTAGCGTCGTGGCAGGCCTTTGTTCGCGAAAGCGCTTGGTGTGCACATTGCGAAGCACGAAGTCACGGCTCCCCGGTGGTCCTAAAGAGGCGATCTGATCGAAACATATCCACCACTTATTACCAAGCCTATGGATCCAGTCATATACCCTCTGGTAAACTAACATAGCTATTGAAAATTGCCATTTATAGTGAGATTTCCCATGAAACATGGTGATTTTCCAGTTCGTTATGTAAACGTTTACCAGAGGGTATGTCCTTCATTTTTTCCAAGGGGAAAAATAAGATGATTTCCTGGCCTCGAAAGACATCATATCCCAGTCAAGTACAGGAGGTGGATTCATCGGAACATCATTGAAGTTGCTTGCTTATTATATGCTGGTTGGTGGTTTGGAACATGAATGGATTATGACTTTCCATAGGAAAACCATAGAAACACCATAGGAATAATCCATATATATATATCCATATATTGGGAATATAATGGGAATATATTGGGAATTTCATCATCCCAACTGACTTTAACTCCATGATTTTTCAGACGGATAGGTATACCACCAACCAGAATGTTATAACTATATTTGATCATCAGTTTCTGTTCGCTACTTTTGCGCTAGCAGGTTGTGCTGTTAGAATGTGCTGGCTGAATTATCAGTGGATGGTGCAGAGTCCAGTCAGTGATCATTTCAACTGACATAGACCTAGGACCTAGACATTTAGTAACTAGCTTTTCCTCAGAATAATGGGGCGAATATCCACTTCCCCAAATTTGTCTCTCAATTTAGTAATTTAAGTGGTCCTATTGGATTTCTGTTTTTCTTTCAGATTACATTCTGGCTTGGAGGGGCGGTGTGTTCAGTCAATTACTTCAGTGAACCTTTGGTTTGATCCCATCTCATTGTGTTTGGCAAGAGATTCCCTTCCCCTTGATCTTCCAGGCCAACCTTACACCCACTTGTTCAGCTATCCCTATCCCTCCTCGATGAGTTATTCACCAATTACTTCCAATTCCACAAAGATAGTGCTGAACTACGATGAACTACTTTTGTTAACTTGGGGGTTAATTACAAACTGTAAACAGTATGCAAATATATATATATATATATATTATATATTTATATTATATATATATATTATCTATATAATATATATATATATATTATATTAATCATACGATATACTAATCCATGGACATATCCCCAGTTGCACGGATTCTGGATGAACGGCGCCGGCGCCCAAGTTGACCAAGGACCGCGAGGATGGCACCTTTTTGGTCACCAGCACCATCGGGGGCTACTACGGCGGCGAGTCGCTTGGCAGCCTTAAAGGAATGAGAAAAAAAGCTATTGAACATGACCGTTGAAATAGTGAGTTTTCCCACTAATAGCATGGTGATTTTCCATATATATCATTTTACTATATTATATATATATATATGGTTGGTTGATTTACCTATTAACAATGGTTATATGACTCAACAGTGATTGTAATAATAGTCACAAAATAGTCACCAAATAGTCACTAACTATCCATATAGTTATCTGTTTGGTGGTTTGGAACGCGTTTTTTTCTTCCATATATTGGGAATAGTCATCCCAACTGACTAACCAAATATTATCAATGGCCATTCCAGGAACCCAAATTGGAGGTACCTACCATATATAAGGCCTATGTAAGGGGATATACCCCAAACATATGGCCTTATATGGTACAGTACCTGCATTTTAGGATCCTGGAATTCCCATTGAACTTGGGAGGGTTCATATACGAAATACCATGGTGATGGTATATGGAATACAATGATTGGAACTTGGTTTACTATGGTTATGATATGGTTTTGATTTTACTATGGTTATGATATGGTTATGATATGGTTCTGATATGGTTATGATATGGTTATAATACGGTTATGGTGGTTATGATTTGCTTATTATATAGTTATGATTTGGTTCTATTGTTGTGATTTGTTTAATGATATTAATTACTATTGTTTTGACTATGATGGTTATACTAGTGAATATATATAAACATATTTATATACTACTATGATGGTTTTGATATGGTTATATTACTATATATTATATACTATAGTTGGGGATTACATTACTATGGTTATGATATGGTTTTGATATTACTATGATATTACTATGGTTTGGGATGTAACGGAATTAAAATTCTGAATTTTATCATGATCTCACGTTATGCGTTAGCTTCTGTCTCTGGAATTTCTGGAATTATTGGAATTGGATTCGGGGAATCATCCTCAAATGGCCTAGTCATTGAACACTATAATTCAGCCAGATTTGTATGGAATTATGAACAAATAGCCTGAGGTAAAAAAACTTGGGATTCTCATGAGGTTATCACAACGAGGTTCCGAAAAAATGGCTGGGATTTGTACGAGGTAAACGTCAGCACATCAGAACATCCTGGAAAAAGACTGGTCCTATAACGACAACCCAAGATGAATAAGTGCTGCTTGTTTTTTTGTTGGGAGCTAAACCATGAAGAAACCAAGTGCCAATCATCTGGAACTAAAATTTAGATGGGTTGCCGCTCCAATTTAATCGAGCAGGAGGTGATTTCACTGGGGTTCACATCATCAATGTGATAATTAAGCTTAAAACAGACATGTTAAAATTACCAGTTACATACCAGTTATATTCGAATTCTCACATATTATATATATATACCAGGATATTGAAACATGTCTAATGAGAGAATGCTCAAGGTACTCTGAAGTTAGTCACTTGTATGGACTTCAAGATTTCAACCATCAGGAACACCACTACTTTCTCAACTTGAGAGAAGTTGTTGCTCCAAGTCGAGTGCATCAAAGCCAAACTAATCGTGGAGCTTGGTGGTCTCCTTCCAAAAAAAAATGAAAATCATGATGTGCAGAAGGTTCATTAACATCTCTGTGGTAGGTTTAATTATCATCTCAGGAGATTCCAGAATCCTTCAAGTCATAGAAGTGTTTGTTTCTTTCTTTTTTCAGAGACTAGTCTCTGGTAAACGTTTACGTAACTATGGAAAATCACAACTTTTAATGGGTAAATCAACTATTTCAATGGCCATGTTCAATAGCACTAATAGCAAACTGTTTGTTTACCAGAGGGTATCCCATTAATTAATTAACTATTACTGTACTGCTAGTTTCAATATCCCATTGTCAATTATCCCATTAATAATCCCATTAACTGTAAACGCTTACCAGAGGTAATCCAACCATTATTTCAGCATTTCAGCATCCTGCTGTCCTTGGTCCACGGCTCAGGGTGGATGTGAACTTCACTCACAGCTACGACGCTGACAGCAACACCTGGGTACCTGGGCGTTCGAGCTCTTCGCTCAACGGTTTCACATCACCGTTGTGTACCGCACGGTGTGATGAAAGGAAGCTGGGAAATCCGGATGTTTTAATGGGGTTCTAATGGAAAACTTAGTGTTACTCTCTGGTTATTTAACATAGCCATGGAAAATCACCATTTCTAATAGGTAAACCATCTATAAATGGGCCATTTTCCATGGCTATGTTAAATAACCAGAGGGTATATAATAGTATATATATATGTAATTCTATATGTATATATAACCTATATATATATATACATACATGATGGATTTGCCAGCAAGCCATGTTGGATTACCAGAGGGTATGTGATAGTGTTTCAACCTGGGATCTGATTCTTGTCCGCAGGGGCCAACACAACTGTTACTTTCTTGATGCAATGACTTGGAGGAGTTTGGAATGGGGAGATGTTTTGTCTTTTTCTGATGTTGCTGGTATTTGCATTGCTGGCAATATGGTTACAATTATGGCTCTTAACACTTATAAATGGGATTATAACTATAACTAAGGTGATATATCATGAAATAATCCTATTTATGATTGTTAAGGGCCATAGCTGTAGGCAATACAACTACAACTAGAGGCGATACCCTCCGGCATTTTTTTTTAGTACGAAAAAATTGCCATGGCAAATTCACTCACGGAATCTGATGATTCAGAGCATTTCAGACCCTTGAGATCCTGTCCCCATGATTTTCACGAATGGGAGATGAACACAAAAATGTGCCAGTTTTTTTTTTGTTTTTTTGTTCATTTTACACTATATATAGTAAACCCAAAAAGATACTTAAAAGAAGCTGACCGCCTAGCGTTTGCTTTGTAGGATCTTTCTGTTCTATCTTTTTTGGGGAACAGGGTACGGGTACCGTACGGGTAGCAGGGTGATTTCTGACTCAAACATCCCGTCACTGAGACCCAAAAATGCGACCGCGATCCGGGACTTCAGAAGGTGAGCAATCAAGTCTGCTTCAGGCCGGACGACGCAGGAAATGGCAGGAAGGAATGGGGTGTCATCGGGTCGTTGCGGGGATACCATATACCATCACTGCCTGGCACTTTGTTCGGGGAAAACGAGGGAATCAAAGTTCTTTAACCAAGGGATTTGGGCTGGTTTCACACAAATCGACATCTCTCCAAACTGAAGTTGGAACGACCAAGATCTCTTTATGAGGTAGTCGGTACAGGAAGGTCCCATCGTTGGTTTATAACCCCCCAATCCTATCCACTATCTATGCGTCCTAGTTGTATTAGTTCTAAACCAACTTAGCTCTCATAAATATTCACAAATCATGTAATCATATAGCAGTAGCATAATATAGTATTTAATATATATATATATATATGTTTGTGTTGCTTAAATCCCATGTTGTGTCCAGGTTTTTGCTGGTGAAAACCCATCAAGATCCCACCATTGACATTGGTTTCCCCTCACAGGTTGCACTCCACGCCCCGAGTGGTGCGACCTCCCAGGGCCTTGGGAACGTCTTCCAGAACCGATGGCCAACGATTTTTCATGTGTTTCATTGAGATTCATGAAATTAAACGTACAAAAAAAGACCTTAGATTTAACCGAAAATTGTTATTTGTTGTTTTTAGTTGCCATGTTGTTTTCCCAGTTTTTAGTATTTAGTCAAATTTTTAAGCCTTGAACATGGGATATGAGGCTCATATGAGGGGGATATGCTGGGACACCTACCGTACGCTATGGTCGGATCGTCGGATTTTGGACAGCCAGGACTGGGTGAAAACATACTTACCCTTTGTTAATCACCATAAATAGTTGGTATGGTTACCATTCCCAGTCATGGGTGGTAAAAATGATTGTTTTACCAACATTAATTGGATATTTATGGGAATGTCATGGATAATTCTGGATGAATTACCCTTTGGTAAACGGGCTTACATAGCGAACTGGAAAGATCCAGCATTTTTCATAGGGAAATCCACTATTTCGACTGGGCAATTTTCGCTATGTTTGACATAACCAGAGGGTATCATCGGGTGACGTTCGACGGAAATGGAGATATTGACCAACCGGAAGATGATGATCTCAGATCGTATTTGTTTGGGCCTTCTGGGGATGATGACGCACCGGAAAAAAATCGCCATGTTTGGGGATGACGTTAGAACAGTTCTTAAGACAAGACCAAATCTGGTTGGTGGTTTGGAATGAATGGATTATGACTTTCCATTAATATTGGGAATAATCATCATCCCAACTGACTTTCACTCATATTTTTCAGAGGGGTAGGTTGAAACCACCAACCAGAAATCAGTCTTTTTTGTCATCATTGCGCTGCTATCTAAATCAAAAAAAAGATATGCTGGTGTCTTTTACGTACAAAAAACACCTCGGTACCATGTTGAGATTCACCGTGGTTCCAATAACTCAATGGATTGGTTTAAGGGAAAATTTACAGGAAAAAACCCATATTTAATGGGAAAATCTATATGGTTTCCGGTTGAGATTTTCCCAGCAAAACCATGCAAAACCAATCCATTGAATAACACGATAGCAGCCACACCGTTTCTTTCCCATTCTGAGATCGAAATCTGGTGCGTGAACGATGAAGCCCGAAACGCCGGCATGGAGGCGCCAGCACTTTTTGGGAAATCAGCTTAACATTACATTTATAGGATTTTATAGTATATATATAATGGAATATAATGGACTATAGATATTATAGATACTTTTAGATATTCAGTTGGGGATTTCCCACAATGGATTTTATGGGAATATGATGGACTATAGATATTATAGATACTTTTAGATATTCAATTGGGGATTTCCCACAATGGATGTCCTCAAGTTGCTTTGTTGCTTCGTAAACTCCATTAACATCCATTACCTAGCTTGATACATCTAGCATAAATCCTATAGTTAACCTACTGAACTAAGCCAACTTAGCTGACTATTTGACCTTGGGGCAACACTGGCTTGCCACTGGCTGTATGAATTGGATGGGGGTTCTTTAGCCCCATTGTGGCGGAAATTGGAGAAGGGTACCGATGTCCACAGATTCTACTGGTTTTCCAGCTCAGGAGTTTGAGAAATGCAGAGGGCAGCAGAAATGCACTTGCTGTCACAGTGGTCATTCTGGTCAGACATATCATCGTAACTTTATTCGAAATGCATCCCCAGATTTTTTTAAAGGTGGTGTTCGGTTGTTTTAATAAATATTAAGACCTTAATCGCTGTTTCATGTTTGATATTTATCTATTGTGTATATTATTTGCTGTTCAATAACTGTTTTTTGACCGCAAAAAACTCCCAATTTTCCTTAGTTGATGTTGATTCGATATGAAAATTCCAATCGTTTTTCCATCACTTGTTGGTTGACCCAAATAGCTTGATCGTATGTAAAAAGTCTATGTCGATAAAACCCATTGTTTGTTGAGTTCAATCTGGTTCGAATTCATTGGTTCACTTTGATGTTGCTGAAAACCCGGATGTTGCTTGGTTTCAATGTGGTTCAATCACGTTTTTGCTTGTCAGTGCACAAAAATCATGTTTTCATTTCCCCTCTTTTCCCAGAATTTGTTGAAGGGACATTGGATAAAACCTGAGACTCTAGAAAAGTACTAAAACAAAATTATAAGTACAGGTTTCAGCACCATTTCCATACTAAACCAATAGATTTCCATCCTCACAAGCGTCGCCTTCGCAGGTGGCTATGGGCCTGAAGGCTGCCATAGGCGACCTTTTTGGTTTTGCTGGCGAAATCTCAGTGTATATTGGTAACTCACTTTGGATTCTAATGGGTTATGAATGGATTGTTACTGTAATTATAGCCCATCATCATTACTATAAATACCAGTGTGAAATGAGCAGTACTGTCATTACTGTGATTATACTGTAATTACTGTAACTTTCGTCTGGTGACGAGGTACAGTCCTTGATTGCAGGTGAAGTTGACATCTCAATGGTGAAATTGAAAAAAAAGCAGGCGAGATCACCATTTTTGATTAGGAAGATCACCAAATGTTTCGCGCGTTTTAGTCATGTTTTACTATTCCCATAGGATCCATGTATGGTATATTTACCTACAAAACCGGCTGATTTTGTTCGGGCAAATGTTGGTAAATATTCCATACATGGATCCTATTTGGGATTATTCAGCATTTTTGTTGGCTAACATCACCAGGCGGTCTCCGTTCACGACGCTCTCAGGTGGCATCGTGGGAACAATGGGTGCACCCGAAGGCACGGACGTCGAAGTGAAGGCGTGGACACGGTGATGCTACAAATGATGCCTGGTGGTACATGATGGATATGAATGATACCCATTAATGTGAACCCCGGATTAATAAACCATGGTTTATTAATTAGGGGGGTACTCCTCCAATACCAATATTCTGATACTTAAATGGTACCCTCCCAATTAAGCGATCTAGGGGTTTATTAATCCAGGGTTGACATTAACCATCATGGTTACCATGACTGATGCTTTCATTTTGTTTAATGTCTAGCACAAGAAATCGGATGATGATGATGATGATGATTATGATGATTACCCTCTGGTAATTTAACATAGCTATGGAAAATCACCATTTATAGTGAATTTTCCCATCAAAAATGGTAATTTTCCATAGCTATGTTAAATTACCAGAGGGTATGAATAATTATCCTCAAGAATGATTTGCAGATATTTGCAGGTTGAACCCACCATCCTCGCAAAGAACATGGAGTTGCATCCACAAAAAAATGGGAGTCAACCAGAAAGAAACCATGGATTCATGGGAACCCCCGAACCCGGTGCATAACTGGATAGTGTACACTTGGCGTAGCCGCCTTCGTGCAGAAGCAACCCACTAGTCAAAGCCAAGATCTGGCCATCATATTTGCTTCACAAACATTTGGATCATTGGATCTGTTTAAGGGAACACTTACAGGAAGCCCCCCCATATTTAATCCCTTCTCCCTAATACTAACCCCCCCTATTAATAAACACGGCAGATGTACCCTAGTTTTTAGTATTTGGGGGGGTTTAATCAATATAGGGAGAAGGGATTAATGGTAAAAACCAACCGGTTTCCGGAGTTTCTGGTGTAGATCTTCCCAGCAAAATCCAGTGATTGGAAGAATCTGTCCATCGCTGTGTCTGTAAGGCCGATCAGCCCTCCAGAGACGGATCAGGCGCAATTCGGATAAACTCCTGCTGGATGGTGGACATTAGAAGGTGGATGAAGGTGGATGAAGGTGGGGTCTGCATACGATAGGTAACACTAGGTAAGTCGGTTGAACTAAGTTGGCTAACTAGGGTTTATGGTGGTTTATGGATGTTTATCGCGGGTATAACCATAGTTAATGGGGGTTATAAGCCAACACATAGCTGTGCGGGGGCAACCTGAGGTGGGGGAAACTTGCCGGGAAAGTCGCCCCAACATGCGTTTCGGTCTGGGGAAAATCAGGGTAAACTGTCTTATGAGATAGAACATTATGTGTCAGATTTTGAAGTAGTTCATTGCATCATTTAGCTCCTTTATATTAACTTGTTGTTTTATCATGCTTGGTTCGTTCATGTGCCTGTCCAGCAGAAGCCGTACCTCGTTTTGACCAGGGCTCAAAATTTAAGGCTCTCGGGCCGATGTTGGCAATTCTTAACTGGTCGTTGGTTTGGAGCATGTTTTTATTTTCCATTCAGTTGGGAATTTCATCCTCCCAACTGACGAAGTCCATCATTTTTCAGAGGAGTTGAAAACACCAACCAGATGCCATTAAAATTCCCATTAGATCCCAAAAAAAAACACCATGAAAAATCCCATTAAACCACCATTAAATGTCAGCCAAAACCATCATTAAACCCCAGCTGTAAACCATCCCATTCTTTCGGTCCCCCAAATTTGACCATGTCTTGTACCATACCTCCTCCCACGACCGCCGTCGCTTGAGGCAAGCTTTCTGCAGTCAGCGCACCCATCGACAGCTTGTGCAGCAGCTCGGGGTCTCGGGGTCTCGGGCAGGAAACCACGGATCCATAGTGATCAATGTAATCATCACAAGCAGCGCATCTCGGAAAGCATAGCATAGCTGATATTGTCCATTGCATCCTTCTTTTGTTGATGTCCCAGCTTGTAATACCAAGCAAACCACCATTGATAGACATAAATTTTCATGATATGTCATGATCGTGATCAAGATTCAGGAATATACAAACGAACTAGATGCATCAGTCAGTTGCTTGCCGTGTGTGCCCCAGCTATTAAAAAAAAACAACAACATGATTTTGCAGACCCAAAGTGGGATGATTCTCACACAGACTATCCTCATATGTATATATATATATATACATAATAACTCCAACAAGCATTAGTATATGGGGATATGACAGTAATAACTGGTTGGTGATTTGGAACATGAATGGTTTATGACTTTCCATTCAGTTGGGAATTTCATCATCCCAACTGACGAACTCATATATATCCCAGGACTGCAATCTCAACATGACTCCTGGTTTGATCATTTCAGTCATGCTACTGGTTGGTGGTTTGGAACATGAATTTTATTTTCTATTTCATATATGGGATAATCCTTCCCATTGACGAACTCATATTTTTCAACATGGTTGAAACCACCAATTAGTATATAATAACCTGCCAGCAGATAGAATATTCCAGAATTAAACCGATGCAGTTCGAATCATACGCACCTCGACTTGAAAAAAAAATCTGCAAACACTAGCAGTTAGAATATTCCAAAGTAACGTGATCGTGAAAGCAGACCACTGCCATATTCCCGAACATTCTGGCATCATGGATTGCTTGGGAACAGAATGTTGCAGGAATGCAGTGTTTTCTTGAAAGAACCTAACCCCCAAATCCCCGAACAGTACGTAGTGTTTCCAAAATCACATTGCCATGGTTCCAAATGCCACACTTCAAGAAGTAATCTTCATTGTCGAATATTCTAAGTGCAAAAAAATCATGCAGATAGAATATTGTGGACACTTCCCCCCGGGGGCCTCGAACGGAGCACTGAGGAGCTCAAGGATTCAAACCAAACTATTCTAAGTGCTAGCCTGCAACTATATATATATAACATTTTTTCGGGGTGGAGAACAATCCCATTCAAAGAATGATTGGAGAAATTTCATACTGAAATGATTGGGCAATCATTGGATAACCATTGACGTTACTCAATCATTTTTGATATCCCAATTCATGAGTAGCATTATGGCTGGCTAATTGATCCATACATTTTGTAATCTTCTCCGGTATGTATATTAAACCAACATAAACAAACCATTTCTTCTGTGGATTAAACAAGCCGTAAGAACTTAAGTTTGATGGCTTCATGATGGAGAAAAGGAAATTTATTCAGAACACATAAATTGGAATCAAAATTTAGTATATAATTAAATGACATGTTCCATGTTGTTTTGATAGGTTAATGATGGACAACATGGAACATGCCATCAAGTGATATAAATTGGACGTGTTCAACATTTTGCTGGTTTCTTTTTAAAGCTACCTGGGGTGAACCTCAAGTTACATATCTTCATTGTGACTTGTTGATATTTCAGTTAATGAGTAAATTCAAATTTATATAAACGATATTGAGAGTTGGATTTCTCCAACAAGCATTAGTATATATGGGGATATGACAGTAATTATAATGACTGGTTGGTGGTTTGGAACATTTGGATTATTTTTCCATTCAGTTGGGAATTTCATCATCCCAACTGACGAAGTCATATTTTTCCGAGGGGTAGGTCAACCACCAACCAGTATGGGATTATAACCTTTTTTTTTGATGGTTTGCTTCCATGATAGATGTACTGGGTTACTATGGTTACTACAATGTGAGGCCCCCAAGATATAAGTTGGTTTATAAGCCCCAGTAACTATAGTTATAAATACCATAAACCATAGTTATTGGAGTTATGTTCACCAACTTAGCTATCTTGGGGGCCTCACATTGTATGCTTATGTTATTTTCTCCGCTCATCCATTAAGACCCTCCGGGGCTCGAAACCGCCATTTCGAAACCGAGCCCGTTTTGGGACCAGGTCCTGACAAGTTCCTGGACGCCTCAATGGAACTGGTGAAAGCCGGCAAGGCCAGCTGTGTTTCACATGGAGCTTTCAGTTGGCTAAATTATTGGAGGTATCTTCCATATATATGGCCTATTTTTTAGGCCTATGTAACATCCCCAGAAAATATGGCCAAAAATATGGTACTAACGTCAATGGATTGGTTTTGCTGGGAAAATCTCAACCGGAAACCATAGATTTTCCCATGAAATATGGAGTTGTTTCCTGTAAATTTTCCCTTAAACCAATCCATTGACATCTGGGGGTTCTTGTTTTCATGGCTTTCATCCCCATCTTGCGCATCCGTAAAAAGGTCCCCACGAAGTCCCATTGAATCCTCATTGAATCTCAATTAAATCCCTATTGAATACCCATTAAATCATTAGGTAGCATGATGTCCCCTTTATGATTGGCGATATCAGCGCCAAACCCCTTCAGTCGCCAGGGCGCGTACGGCATGGTGTTCTCCTCAGCCGGGAGTGTTCGAAACCTTTGACACGTGTTTTTAATGGGCTTTGAATAGGATTTTCCTGAGATGCTAGATGATTAGTTCGGGAATTATACATTCACCATCATTCACAGATATCAATTTCGTAATATATAAACCAATCCATGAAATTGGAATCAAGTTTTAACCAACCAATATCAGTAAGGAGCCAAAACAAGTGGTTGGAAATGTATGGAAATGCGATATTCACATGTGTGTATATATACATATATACATGTATATTATTGTATATATTCACATGTTTAAGTTTCTTTGAAAATTAATTCCCAAATCGAAGATCACAATGAAAACACGTGGTGTGCCAGCTCAGAACTGAACACCGGCGTGGTCAGACCGTCGTAAGACCAGGGTCACCTTTTTGTCACTAGCGGCTGGAAACACACAAAATTGCTGGTTCTATGCGCAACACAACCAATTCCGCAAGTTCATTAGTCTCACAATTTCATGCCGAGTTCAATAGCTTTAGATGATGTGCCCAGTGCGGATGCTCCATGTTCAAGATTCTTACCAGAATCAGATAGAATACATGTGTATTTATATAAATTATATATATATAAATACATAATTTATGATATTAATTATATATGATATTATCTGGAAAGGTGTCACTTAACAGCCCAAAATGGTCACTTCAAATGGGTTGCTTTCAGGCAATTCCAGTTGCGTATGGCAAATGTTTTGATATGTTGTCGTTCTAATATGCTTTCAGGATGGGTATGATTCATGTAGTGATTGAATGTGAGTCACAGATATGTTGTAATTGTTTTTTTTTAAGATCCTTGGTATTATTAACATATATATATATATGTATAACACCTCTGGTAATCAAACATGGCAATGGACAATAAACAATTTAAAGATGATCTTCGGTTTAAAAGACAATTTATAAGATTTTCCAGCCATGTTTGATTTCTGAGGAGTAGCTGGTGATGGTTCAGATGTCACATGTCACCAGCACCTGGATGAAGTGCGGAACCGTCCTAGGGTAAGCATACCAGAAGCTGTGGAGTTTTCCATGGACAACCCTGTGATTTCCCAAGGGGGCTGATCTACAAATGCTTGGGTTTTCATTGATTTTCAACATCTAAACATTTCCCCCAGGCCCTTGCTTTCAGTGAGATGATTTGTCCGAAAAAACTCACTGATGAAAGTGATCAGTTCCCTGAAAAGTGCCGAGCTACAAAAAGAGGTACTGTACGCTCCATGTTCAGGACACACGGAGTAGATAGAGTTGGTGACATATCTCGTTACTGGTTGGTGGTTTGGAACATGAATTTTATGACTTTCCATTCAGTTGGGAATGGAATAATCATCCCGACTGACTTGAAGTCCATGATTTTTCATAGGTGTAAGCAGCAACCATCAACCAGGTTATATACCCCCATTCATATCCCATTCCATCGGCATGTTTGCTGCTTAACATCGGCAACTTTCAGATGGATCTCTGACCAGATTGACCAGTGCCCTACTGGGGCTAAAGTACATATAACATTACATATAATATATACATATACACATGTGTAATATATATATATATAGACAATTATAGACATACAATACTAATGTGTGGATTTTTCTATATACATGTATATGTATGCGTATGGCGTATGTGTATATGTCCAAGTATATGCATACGTATATGTCTAAATATGTGTAAATGTATATGTATGTTTATGTATATGTATATGTGTATGTATATGTATAATTATATATAACTATGTATAATTATGTTTAATCTACGTGTATATGTGTATAATATGTATAATATATGTACAGATAAATGGATAGATAGCTAGAGATTAGACGAGAGCTTAATTTCCACTAGAATACCCCGAATTTGACAAGATATGGGTACTATATCATTAACTTAATACTACAAACAAAAATATGTTCAAAAAAAATCTCAGTTCCCCCCTTGAAGCCTCACAAACCCACTCAGCGAGGTCGATTTCAGCATCATCGAGGACAATGGCAGCAACTTCAAGACGAAGGAATGGCTGTGGCACCTTTGGTGGCCGTGACAGTCGCCGGGGAAAACAAGAGATGCATATTAGGCATGGATTCTACTATGCTCTAATATTATGTGGTATATCAATCAAGGTTTTGTAAGATAACTTAGTAACTTAGTATATAAAATATTTACAATTATCTTAGAATGCTAATAATGGCTAATCTTGATAAAAAGGATTGATAATTGGCGAACAATTGTGTCTAATGTTAACCAATGTTAACCAAACAAAACAAATAGCTTTTTCAACAAGTATTTTCTTTGATTAATTATATCATGTTCATATCATGTCCGTATCCGATCCATGTCCTATCCATTCATCCACCCATCTATCTATTCATTTTGCTTTATATATTATCTGACTCTCATTGTGTTCCCTCTCATCTATATCACCTTATCTATCAATCTATCTATCAATAGATCTATCCATCCAATTATCTATGTCATGTGTATATATATATATATATGTCACCAGCATCTATTGGTTATGGGTTTGCCTCTTCAATGGGGGACTGGCCCCAGTATATGGCCATGTTGACCCACGTGGTTATAGGTAGGCTAACTAGGATTATCTAGGATTGTTGGAAACTATCCATAGCTGGTTGGTGGTTTGGACCATTTTTTTCTATATATATATATATATATTGGGAATGTCATCATCCCAACTCACGAACTCCATCATTTTTCAGAGGGGTTCAAACCAGCAACCAGATAGTTTTTGTTGGATTGTTAAACCAACTGTTTTTTCTGGGGGGATACTGGGGGGGCAGCACCTTGGAAACATCAAGACGTGCCCTCCGCCTGGGGTGTTCGGATTTTCCGCAGACCTGGCCTCCGGTGACAAGGCTGACTCTGTGGTTTTCAGCGCCATGAGCCTCTGAATTTGACCAGACATGATCTGCAACAAGAAACCGATTGAAACTGCAGATGAGAACCTTTGGAGGAATCTGTTATTTCCTACAAGGATTTTGAGTTCCTCCAATGGACGCACTGGAAAATCCCAACAAAAAGTCATGTTTTCCAAGGTGAAATCGCCGCCGCCACGGCGAGACATTTCCAAGTTGTCCCCGATGTGTTAGCCCCTGAAAACCATTCGAATTGTCTGAAGGCCTGAAAATTAACAAACTGCATGGTTTCAAATGTGATAAAATCCCGGTGAAATCCTGAATCGATTCCCAGGTTTACCATATTTTTGTTGAGCTCTTAAGTCCCAAGTATTGGTACTGCAGGAGACCACCGACTTGGACGGCAAGGGGGATCTGAAGGCGGGTGACCCACCATTCGTCCCGTGGAAAAAACAGCTACTAGGATTTACTGTAATGGGAATTTAGGAGGGATTACCCTCTGGTAAATTAACATAGACCCTGGCAGATAGGGGTTGGAAGATTAGTTTCCATTAAAACTAGGCTATTTTCAGGGTCTATGTTGAGTTTAGGAGGGATAAAATGGGGATTTAAGATTTTAATGTGATCGAATGAGATTTAATGGGGACTTGACATAATGTTTATGGGTTTTAATGGGATATTCATGGGAACATAAGTGAACGAAGATCAGTTATCCAACCTCTTAGACTGTTAGCATCTCTTAGCCCCTTTGATGAATCATACAAGGTGGTGCCCGTGGTGCCAGTGTTTGTGAGCGAAGTTGGTATGTTCATCGCTTCCAGTCCATTTCCCTCGGGGTTTTATGATGCAGATAGCGCACTTGTACTAGTTACCCTCTGGTAAACTAACATAACTATGGAAAATCACCATTTTCAATGGGAAAATCCACTATTTCTATGGTCATTTTCAATAGCTATGTTAAATTACCAGAGGGTAAGGGGCGTTATAAACCAACTAACAGAGGAGGGGCACCACCTTTTAGGGATCTGCATGAGTCACCGAGTCACCGGGGGATCAAGGGGTGCCCCATAGTTAGTTAAGTTTGCGAAGGTCGGACGTGACTCTAATAACCTAGGGTTTCTACATCATATATCTGAATATCTATAGTCAATGGGGTTATAAAAGCAACTTATAACTGTGTGGGCCACCACCTTGTAGGATATTAACAGGAATATAAGCGGATGAAGATCGCAACATATAGCCAACTACAATCGACAGTCCAACCCAGATCATGCAATCAAATACACCCCCACCATATGGAACCCACAAAGAATAGATAAAATTAAGAACAAACCGGGGTCTCGAATATTAGGTGGCAGGGATTGCATTTGTATTTATATATATATACAGGGGTTCCACACATGGGCATACCCCAAAATTGATGGTTTATGATGGAAAATCCTACTAAAATGTATGATTTGGGGGTACTTCGATTTTAGGAAACCATATTATATATATATATTATATATATATTGTATATTATATATATACTCACATGTATACATTTATGTATATATATATATATACGTATATACATGTGTAGTGGGAGTTGTCATTGAGTAGCAAGACCATGATCTTAGTTGTTTTTTGGTGTGTGGGGAGGGAGTTTGCTTTATGTTTTCTTGTCCCGAAGACCTAAGTTCTGACTAGAAACTAACGATGCCATAAGTAGAAACAACATATCAATATGTTTACAGTTTTTTATCCTATAGGTCTAGATTTTGAACATGGACCAGGATCAAAGCTAGAACATTTGTTTTGATTCTTTCAATGTGGCGTCATTCAGGGATATCTGACATTCCATAGACCATTATTCCTAATGTTCCATTTAAAACATTATTTAAACAATATCAGTAATATTGGACCATGTATATATATATATTATGTATATCTATACATACATATGTATATATATATATACATATGTATACATATATATATATATGTATATATATATACATAATATATACATATTTTGTCAATCCATGTGTTTTTTTGTTCAAACCTTTCTGCTTTTCGCCGCAGCGGTGCCGGTGAGGTGAGCTATCTCCACCACGTCTATGACAAGAGCAGCAACAGCATCACCGCCACCATCTACAAGGTGGGTCTCAGAAGGTAATCACGACATAACGGAGCGCAGACGGCGTGGGTTAGGCTGGAAGAATGGTTAGCCGCTAAGCCGAAATGGTCAACGGGCTAACATGAATTTGGGGAACTCTAAAGATCCACCATGAAAATTGAAGTTAGGTAAATCAACTATTTCTATGGTCCATGTTCAATAGCTATGTAGCAAATTACCAGAGGGTAACTTGAATGATGAGAAAACTTGAATCATTAGCAAATCCAGACTTTCGTGGTTCATGAATCATCCATTGATTCTCCATCATCTATAACCAACCTCCTTCAAATCACCCACAATTATCCAAAGAAGATGTTTGGGGCAGGAGATCAGCAAGGATTGGGTTGTCAGGGATATCAACAAAAAGACTGCGGGTGATGAACAAACAATGTTTTTTCTTTAAACAAAAACGCTATGGTAATTAAATTGTAATATAAACTGATATCATTTAATATGACCTTATATCAGTTAATTAGTATCATTTAATTTAATTTGATTAATATTTAATATCAACATATCATCTACTATCATCCAATATAATAATGTAATCTAATATAATCTAATATCATCTAACATCATCTAGTACCATATCATACTCTTATTTACTGTTCAATCGTGCCGTAGTTTACCATATATACATATATATATAAATACGTATACATAAACCCATTTGTGTAGTATTGTAGACAGGAATATGTGCACTTGCGGTGGTTTGTTGTGTTTTTTGTTGCACCTCAGATTGTATTGGGATGATGTAAACAGCCCACCTAGTGGCGAAGCTCTGCCAAGGAAGGTCCCCATGGCAATCTTGATATCAATGGATTGGTTTGAATCTGTAGAATATCAAAATAACAATGGATATCAATGGATTATCAATCTTGGTATCATGCATGTGTTTAAAATAAATCTTGCTATCAAGTGTGTATCAACAACAATCTTGGTATCAATAAAAAACACATGTCGGACTGTCGTTTGTTCTTTCTGTTGAACGTCCCTTCAACAAGTTCTGGGATGGTATTACAGTACTGTGTAACAGGTGGACGACCCTAAGGTTGATGTTTCCTACAGTTATGGCCATTTACCAGTTATAACTGGCTATAAATGGGATTATACATTCTATAAATGGGGTTATAAGTACTTATAACTGATAAATGGCCATAACTGTACTCAGTAGGACGGAATCGGTGGTTGAACAGTTACGTATGTCTCGCACCGCAGTGTGTAAGAAACACATGACGTTTTCATCGTCACTATGTCTTTAGTATCAATCACACGGCTTAACCAGTGCGAAACCAGTCGTTGCTTTTTCAGTTTTTTTTTTTTAATAAGCGGTCAAATCTGCACTAATATCCGATAGTTGTTGATTGGGTCCGCAGTCATGCCGCAAATCCTTGGAAAGGATGAGAAGTTCGACACCAAGATTGCATCCTACGTCACGAAGGTGCAGAAACGTGGTGGCGGGGGGTGAGAATCGTACGAAATGTAGCATGGTCAAATCATGGATAAATGGCCTATATTGAGGGATGGTTGTCAATCCATGATTAGGGAGATTAAAGGGCAGTTTCAAATCATCAAAGAGGGACTGAACGGAAAAGATGATTGATTATATGTATATATATATATACTGTATATATACTGTATATATACTGTATATATACTGTATATATACTGTATATATACTGTATATATTATATTTATATGTCATATATATATATTATACCATATATATATATATATTCATATACCCAAAATATCAAGATTTTTTCCATGGTGGGATGGATGACCATCTCCCACAATCTTCTGACCATGGCACAGATGTGGAGTTTGACAAAAGGACCACTCAAAAAGAACGCGGCGATGTCCAGCAAGAAGCATGGAATTATGTAACATTATGTATTTATATATATATATATGTTATATACTATATATAATTTTCAACATATATTGGATTATATATGTATATATATAGTTAAAAAAATATTATTTTCTAATATATTATATATTATTTCTATATATATATATAATCTAATATATATATATATATAGTTATATATATATATTATAGTACTGTATATATTATTATATTTGTTATATTATATTGTATCATTGTATATTATTTGTTATATAGTTTATTTTATATATTATAAATAATATGTATTATTTTATATAATTTATCTTATATGATAGATATCTATATAATATATTTTATAATATTATATTATATTATATATATACTATATATTATATTATTGTATTTTTTTTTACTATAATAATTATATATCATATATTATATGTTTTATATTGTATTCTATTATATTATAGTATATTATTTTATTTCATTTTATTATATATATTATACTGTACATAGATGTGAATAGCAGCATGAGGACATGACCGACAATACTGAGTCCCTGATGGGGTCTGGGCCTTTTGTGTATAAATTGTTTGGAACTTCAGAAATGGCTGGACATTTTGTTGCATTCCAAACTATCTCTGGTTTGGCCAATTCAACTGTTGGTCGCCAGATTTCGGGCCCCTTTCACAAGCCCCTTGTATATACAAAGTGAAGCCAGGTTATGTCACTCTGACCCTTCACCAGCCCAACAGCTTTGCTGCATGGTTTCAGAATCATTCAAGGTGTTCCAGGCTCACAGTCCATCAGTGTTTCTCAAAAGTTAATTCCCCACAGGAAATGGTTTTCTTCCAGGCTACCAGGCTACTAGGGTATTGTTGTTGTGCCAGTTTCGACTCTCAAAAATACGTCTTGCTTTTATAGACATTGCATGCTACGAGAAAATGAACAACACATTGTAATATGATAGCACAAAGTATGTTCGGGTCATCTACTTGACTTCGGAGAATATCATATTTGTATATTTCATAAGCGTACTCCCAATTTGTGCAGATCCTGTCTTGGTCCATATGTTTCCGGCTAGTCATGTCCATTGATCTATACAGTATCTTGTTTTTAACGCGTGAAAGCCAGCAGTCAGTAGAACATAGTCAAGCGCCGAGGGCGCAGAATTCCCTGTTCCAGAGCCGACCCATGTTCAGATAGCACCTACCCAAAGCCTTGAATCATCCAAGCAATTCCCAGAATTGGATGAACTGAATGAACATCTGGAGGACTTTCCTCGTATTTACCCGTGAAAACCGTTGCACACATGGCACAAACCTTTAAAGGACTTTAAACCAATCCAATCGCAAATCACCATCTATATCAAGTTATCATATATCACAAAAGATGGCGATTGCATTGGGAAAGTGATTTTCTCAACTGTCAAGTTTTGGAGTCTCCGGTTCTCCGTCCACATGTCATGCTGCTTGGTGGTTTGGAACATTTGGATTATTGATTATGTTTCCATTCAGTTGGGAATTTCATCATCCCAACTGACGATTCGTCATATTTTTCAGAGGGGTATAGGTCAACCACCGACCAGATGCCATTCAAATTCCCATTAGATCCTATCAAACCACCACTTCTTCAACCCCATTAGCAAACCACCATTTTCACATTGGCCCTGCACGGATCTCGGATGATGCCGAAAGTCCAGGTCTATTCGGGGCCCATGGTGGTGGAGCAGTTCGTGGAGTCTCTTGGAGCGCAAAATGCGGTCAAGACATGGGATAAAATTCGGGAAACGACGTCAAGGACCATCGGACTACAAGACGTCCCATTGAGGCCACGAGATGTGAACGTTGGTTTAGCAAAAGCCCCAGTAACTAGTTATTTAAACCACAGTGACATAGTTATAGTTATAAACCAGAGTGACATTGGAGTTATGTAACTATAGTTATAGTTATAAATACCATAAACCATATAGTGACATTGGAGTTATGTGAACCCCAACTTAACTATCGAACGGGGGCCTCACATTGTAAGAAATTCATATCTGGGCAAAGAGCATGGTGGAGTAAATTGACATGAGAGTCATGTTTAGAGCCATTTTCATGGACGAAAATGTCACAGTCAGATACATTTACCATTTTACCATGATCTGTGGTTATCTGTGGTTGCCAGAGGATTCAGAATGGGTTTGACCCATAATTCAACAACTTAGATGGGGAACCATGGAGCTACCCTTTTCGAAAGGTCAACCGTCGATCATCGGATCATGTGGGTACACCATCCAGAAACCATGGTGAACACTCGTTGGGAAAATCGGTTATCGTCCCAACAACAACCATAACAATCTCGATATACAACGATTGTCTCTATCCATAACAATTTGGGTAAATTATAACGACCTGACTGCGACCGAGCCCTGGAATCATGCATGGTTAATAAGGGAAATCATCCCCAAATGGGCCTTAATTCAGGTTAGTGAAATATTCTAATTTACCCAGATTAATATAATTCAGCCAGAATAACGGGGGTAATTACCATAAACCATACTTATTGGAGTTATGTGAACCCCAACTTTGCTATCGAACGGGGGCCTCACATTGTACCCAGATAACAATCCATTGAAGCCGCATTAGGTTGGCCTCCTGCGATCCCATCCCCCATCCCCATGTAGTTCTATCAGGTCCTTTCCCGTGCGCCACGCTGGGGCGGATGTGATCAAAGCTGTTCAGCCCCAGGTGCGCAACGCGCAGTCAATTCGACCGAAGCCTGTTCTCCATTGTTCTCCCGAACCCTGGAATCATGTTTTTTTGTTTGAGGGAAATCATCTTAAAAATGGCCGAACTATTCAGCTTAGTATTCTACCCTCTGGTAACTAACATAACTATGGAAAATCACCATTTTTAATGGGTGAATCCACTATAAATGGCCATTTTCAATAGCTATGCTAAATTACCAGAGGGTAGTATTCTGGGATTATTGGGATCATCAGGGATTTTCTCCTGGATTTTCTCCTGGATTTCCCAGATATATCCAGATTTTTTTGATAGTTCACTATTTTAGCGTTCTGAATAGGGATTTCCCAGTTAATTTCCCAGTTAAATTATGTTAAATTCGGGATCACAATCCAACTTGGAAGTCCTGTTCAAAACGGTGGTATATCTATATACTCTATGGATCCACCTGAGAAGGCACCATGATGGCTGGTTGCGAACGGTTCATATCCTTTGTTATTGATGGTTAAAAAAACATGTTCTACAGTTAACTGGCCCTATAGCCAGTTTTAAGTGGCTGAACAACATCATATTTAAGTGATATGTTTCACATAGCCTGGTGGCTAGAGTTATTTCATCCCATGGCCACAACTATGGGATATCTTCCAAGACGACGGGCCAGCCTCAGTGCATTGAGCTTTGCGATGAGACAGATAGCATGGTAAATAGCCTCAAATTAAATAAATATATATATATATGTATATGTTCATACATTATATATATACACACTGGATGTAATATGTCTATATATATATATATATACACATGTATATTGTTTGAAATATGCAGTTGGAGCGAAAAAAAGGGGAGGGACCAAACATGTTGCGGGGCCCGTGGCCATGCATAAAATGATGATCCATCCCTGTTTGGGATGATTCCAGATGACATCCGTTGGCAAAGATTTTGGATATCATGAATATTCGTATATAGCTTAGCTAGCTTAAACAAGATATCATATAGTTGGAAGTTGGAATATATTTTTTTCTGGATATTCCGATATTCCATCACAAATAACAACTGTTCATGTTCCGATATCTCTCTCTCTCTCTCTTTTTGGAATGGAGCCATTCCATAGCCATGACACTGCGCTAGGAAAATCCCCGAAGTCAATGGAGGTAGCTGGGGGAATCATCGAACTAAATGATGGCTTTCCCCTTGCCACGTATTTGATTCCTGAAAGGTACCCGAAATGGTAAACGTTTACATAACTATGGAAAATCACCATTTTCAATGGGTGAATCCACTATAAATGGCCATGTTCAATAGCTATGCTATGCTAAATTACCAGACGGTATATCATGTCATTTCATTCGATCCTTCATTCCGACCCAAAAAAAGACCTTAAGTGTCATTCCCCCAATGTCCATCAAAATCAATGCATGGTCTTAGTTCCTAAAACTGGGCCACTGTTCGATGTTTGAATCATGGATTTGTATGGTGGAATAGTACACAAATATAAATCATGGATGGATTCCAATACTAGATTTGGACCGTTCTACGTTAGACCAATGCAAAACATAGATGGCCAAATGCCCATGGATGGTTGGATGCTAGAAATGGATGGCTACGTGCCTGAAATGTTTTTGGCAACGGATGGTTAGGTACTGACATGTACAAAGCATGACCCAGTTTTCGGTGGTTGAATAAAGAACTAAACATGCACGTTTCTTTTTTCCATACTTGCAGTTTATGCTTGAATACCACGCTGTTTTGTGTGTCGAAGCAGTAGTCTTGGGCCGGGACGTCATGACAGGTGGAGCAAGTCTTGACCAAAGCCGTGGAAGAGAGCGCATGAGGTCAGCACGCACAGCATGTTGGCACGCATAGCGAAGGTTGCGGCAGGCGAACGTTGGCGTTTGCCGTGACAAATTTTAGAATCCCCCAGTTCTGCCAAAACCAATAGAATATGTCTGGATAGAATTTGTAGCTGCGCTAGGCATATTTTGGCCAGCTAGTGTAATGAATACGTTTCTTTGCTTTTTCAGGGGGTGCTGGGGGAAGTTTTCTAACATGGCCAACGGCCCTGTGGGTACTGTACTTAACCCGATATCTTTTGTAGACAGTGACCTTCCCGCCAAAATGGGTGGTCTCTGCATCTACAGCTGCAATGCTAGCTGTTCCAACCAATTTTGCAGAAGGGAAAAAAGTGGTCCCAGCACCGTTTGTCATGAGATTCATAGTAAAAGTCCGGATTGTTGTAGTTGACATCCCCAAGACATAGCAAGACGATAGTATAATCTGGTTGGTGGTTTCAAACATTTTTTATTTTTCCATGTATTGGGAATTTCATCATCCCAACTGACGAAGTCATATTTTTCAGAGGGGTAGGTCAACCACCAACCAGGTTTGATCTTGGGGTGTTCGGTTTACAGACTGTAATCCACGTGATGAACTGCGTTCAGGCTCATTTGGGATCGAGGTCACGGGTCACATGCGAAAAGAAGGGCAAGCCGGGCAAATGCCCGCAGAACATGTGCACATTGTCAAGTGATGAAACGATGAACAAAAGTTCGAGTAATATCAACTTAATTACCCGTTTGGTTTGTTTCAGCCAACCCTGATCATTTGCTTGTGAATATTTAGCTGAAAACCCTTGGAATCAAAACCAATGGCTTCAAGCAGTCACTTCCCTTGCTGAACCCAACAATAGATTCAATAAACTGTTTAAATTTGGTTGGCGGTTTGGAACATTTTTTTTTTCATGTTTTTTCCATACATTGGGAATCATAATCCCAACTGACGAAGTCATATTTTTCAGAGGGTTGAAACCACCAACCAGAAATAGATGATTCATGCCTTATCCCCACATTCGTTTCACAACTGGTAAGCTGGGGATGCGCCTTTTGCCATGGCCATGCGCTTGTAACGCCCCTTGTTCCGTCCGGACGGTCTTTCCTGGTCTCCGCGATTCCATTGGCCTCGACTCGTCGCCCGAAGAATGGCCATGTAGTATGTAACCTCTGGTAATTTGTTACATATACCCTCTGGTAAATTAACATAGCTATGGAAAATCACAATTTTTAATGGAAAATCCACTATTAATGGCCATTGTCAATAGCTATGTTAAATTACCAGAGTGTAGCAATTGAAGCCATGACCATTGAAACAGTGGATTTAACCAGCTAGAAAATGGTGGATCTTTCCATAGTTTTTTGTTAACGTTTACCAGAGGGTACATGATGTAAATGATGTACATGGCTCAAAGGGTCGTCAAGAATCAAACCTCAGGACCACAGATTGTTTTTTTTGTATACCATCCAATGATTGGAGTACCCAATTGTTGAGCCACAAATGGCCAGTAGTTGATCACCAAAGGCCTGGCCTCAGGTAAACGCCCTGATTTTCAAAGTCAGTTATGGTCATTCAGCCAGGAATAATCTCCAAGTAGCAGGTATAACTATGTTTAACTGTTACATATGTAACATGTTGTAGATGATAGAATCTGATAGAATCTGATAGAATAACTTTGGCCACTGAAGGCACGACATTAGCATCCACACAGCAATTTAATGTGTAGAGTGTAGATCCCCTCTGGTATTCAAGCTCTGCAAATTGATTCCTACTTTTTTGTGACATGAAAATGATGATCATTGCCTGCATGTGCCATCATGTGCCCACAACTTGACGGTTCTAATTCTCTTATTTTCTCAATGTGAAACATCTATGAATCTATGTATACTATACATGTGTATATATATATATATACATGTATATAATACTTTTTTAGGGATGATCCTTGAGCAAATCCCAGCTATGTTCGTTTCCCCAAGTCTTTTGGTTCGGATCGCCCGGGAACGCCGCGGACGCCGACGGACAGCCACGGACGCCATGGCAACGAATGGCCTGAAGGAATCGCCCATTCTGAAGAAGTATGTTACTTGGTGAGTGAGAACATTTGCACATCATGTCATGTCCTCAATTTGTTAGTGATTTGTTGTCCCATAAAACAAGGAACACCTAATTAATGTCATTTTTTGGTCATGTATACCAGCCATTTATGACATATAGATATATATATATATATAGCAATGTTGGAGATGGTCTATGAATTACTGTATAATGGGTTTAAGACAGGTTGCGGCCAAACACCTCGTTTTGCCCGAGACACTCTCAACATACTGTATATTATGGGTCATTCTGGCATTCCTGAAAAGCTAAGGTATGGGATCTGTGCGACATTGCACATGTCATCCTGAACCCTATCATATCAAAGCCGCAAACTCTAAAATCTTAAACCCTACTGCAAAAACAAACACAAAAATACATGAGAAAATCAAGGAACACCCCCTAACGCAAAACACCTAAAACCTAAAACCCCATGTTTTAAACCCTAAAACCTTAAACCTAAAAGTTATGTTTGGCGAAACGAGGTGTTTGCGTGTAGGGTACCGGCCCGTTGCATTTCCAAACTTTGGCTATGGTCCAGTTGTGAACTGTTCATTTTGGTTTTGTGCATCAATATACGTATACGTAGTAGTTATGAATATATCATAGACTGCGATAGACATGCACACTGACAACTTTTGCTGGCCAATTTATTGTATGAGCCGAATGTTCAACTTGATTGGTGCAAAGGTAGAAAAACCTTAAAGTTCCATGTTTTCCTGATTAAATTTATGAGAGGTCTTCTCTGAAATTGCCATAAGCAGGATCATGTTGGGACAAATAAGCCCATATACATGTTCGGATAACAGATACATATATATATACATATTATACCCTAGAATTCCAGTTACCTCTTAGATAGGTAACCAGAGTGACTCTATCTCATGATGTTGGTTGCCTATCTAACAACATTTAAATAACATATATACAAATATATATATATATATGTATTGTGACACTAACTATATATATAATTATGTATACCCTAGGGCTCCAAACACCTTCTGAGACTGTATTTGGGGATGCTGTTTGGGACCTAAAGGATAATATATATATGTATATATATATGTGTATATATATACATATATATATATTATATATATGATATGGGATATATGTGACGCACAGCTCCCCCTTACCATTGACAAAAATCCCCATGTTCTGTGCACCAACGCAGGTGGAGAACGGCGACGTGGTGGGCATCTGCGTCAGCGGCGGCTTGGACTCCAAGACCGTGGCCTTGCGCTTGCGCCTGGCCGGCGTCAAGGCGGCCATGGCGGGGCCGGCCATGGCGGGGCCATGGCGGAGCTGGGGGGATCGCTTTGGATTTTAAAAATGCTGGAGAAATCCCTACTGGTTGGTGGTTTCAAACATGAATTTTATTTCCATTTCATATATGGGATGTCATCCTTCCCATTGACTAATATTTTTTCAAGATGGTTAAAACCACCAACCAGCCTAGTAACTATAATTATAATGGTAAACAATGGTATATAATCTCTGGTAAAATTATGGTATGTTTTGAAAACATGTAAAATGGTATTTAATCTCTGGAAAAAAATGATTTTGATGAAACATGCTCTATAATCTCTGGTAAACTCATAGTTTGCTAAGGAAAATCAATAAACAATCAAAGTTTCTTCAATAAATCAAACTATAGTAGATATATGTAATTATTTTATATCAGATATAGCATCCACTTTCAGTACTTTGTAGTATCCATGGTAGGCATGAACAAAAAATACTATCCACTTATAGTAACTACTTCATATACATGTATAGTACACTATCTAATGAACTGAGGTTATCAATGGTATATATGCACCATCCTGTTTTACAACTTTTGATAGCCACTTACTGGGTATGAACTTACTTATGAAGTTGGATAGTACTTATAATGTGGAGACATTATATCTATATAATCATAAGCACTGGTGAATTGGTACTGATACTGGGATGAATATACAAAAAAAAGAAGGTACAACAATAGTTAACCAACAATCCAATTCATGATTAATGGCTAATTAATGGGAATCATTAATCTATATGGATAATTAATTGATAATTCGTATCTAGTGGTGAATGAAGGGAACTGTCGGAACTAGGGCTATCTATACTCCCAACAAAATATGGGGAGCCAGTTGCAGCTACAATCAGAGTTTCCCAACCACATGTTTAAGAAATGCCAATACATGTATGTATATAGGATTACATCGGTGTACATATAGGTACAGTAAATGAATAGAAAACGAGAGATGGACATTTAATGATGTTGTGGTATCTACTGGTTTGTGGTTCCTTTGGGAATGACGACCAAAATAGGCCTAGATCTCTTATAAGCAATATTGGTTAGCTAACTAGACACTCAACTTTCCAGCAACAAACACAATAGTTAAATTGAGGGTCTCATCCAACATATTAGTTTTGTGTGTTGTTATTTTTGGGCTGGTAAAGTGATGCTTCAGGTTCATACATTTCTACATTTTGTTTGTTATCATATACATATTGTACTTGGCACTAAGATATTAAATGATGTTGGTCCATTCAAAATGTGTATTTGACAGATTAGTTGTGAAGGCGAAAAGACCATTAGATAATTAGATATCAAAAACGGTATCTTCCTACGTTGGGACATGCCTTTCGAACAATTGGCATTGTTTAGCTCCTGACAATCGATGTTTGTCTATGGATCTCCTGGGCAAACCATGGATCTCGACATCCTATATCACCCCAAAGGGCGTTTTTCAGAATTCCTCGGTTTTGTGGTAGATTTCAAGCTGTGATATTGTGTGATATTGTGTGATTTTTGGTCAGAATGGGTCAACACAGTTATGGCCATTTATCAGTTATAAGTACTTATAACCCCATTTATAGAATGTATAATCCCATTTATAGCCAGTTATAACTGGTAAATGGCCATCAGGAAGTGTTCATCTCTAAAATTGGTGGCGAGCCGATGCCGACAAGTCCAGGCCTTTGGGATCGGTTAAAAAAAACCCTCCCGCAGGTGAAATGCTTTACTGCAGACATCGGACAGCCAGTGGCCTGGAGTCAGGAGTCAGGAGGCTGATTTGTTGTAGTTGAAACGTGTGTTTTTTCTACGTTGTTTATTTTCATGATGTGTTTTGCTACAGTGCCCGAAATAGCAGTTATAAGTACAAAAACCCCATTTATAGTATGTATAATCCAATTTATAACCAGTTATAACTAATAAGTGGCGATAAGTGTAATTACTGTAGTTGGTGAAGAATGGATGATAGTAACAAATATCGTGTGAACAGTGCCAGCTGATACTTGTCCTGATCAACAGCTTCCGCAATTTGACAAACACGCTGAAACAACACATCAAACAAAAAGAACAAATGCACGGTATGAAGCCATCCTGGGCACAGTGTTTACCTTTTCAATAACACGCTATGGGTAATAGCTGCGTTGAATTGTCAGACCAGAGGCAGCAGTCTTCTAATGCTTTCGAACAAGGGAAGAGTGTCCCTGAAGAGATTTCATATGAACACATATAATATTCAAAAAATGTATAACATAATGACAAATGCTTCTGGATCTGGATACGGTCTTAAATTTCCTGACCTGTATAATATTTATAGAATTCATTTCATTGATCTTCATGTGGATGAATGTGATTGCAATATGTTTGAATTTGTTTATTGCATGGGTCGCTCTATTTAAAGATATTCAGAATTCATATAGAATTCTAGCTGGAGATAATCCCATGCAATCCACATGCCTCGCTAGTACGCTGTACAACAATCTTGACGACGATGAATGAGGATGAAGAAGACGTGAATGACGTGATCAAAAAGTTGCTTGTGCCTAATTAACCTGGGCTCTGATTGAGAATGTATCTATCGTTGGTTAATACTTGAAATGAATAGCTGGTTGGTGGTTTGGAACATTTTTTTTCTCCCAATATTAAGGATGATTGTCCAATCTGACTAATATTTTTCAGGGGGGTTGAAACCACCAATTAGATAGGAACTAGAGAGTAACAAACCCCTTAATTAGTTGGTTACTTTGAAGTGCCAACAGTCTCTACAAGTTGATGCCCAAGGTCGTTGGCTAAGTTGAACTCAGAAGAACAATAATTGGAGTTCCGGTAGATATGCACGAACTGCGGTTAATAGACCAACTATGACCAACAGGGGGCGACACCTGGTATGCGTCTTCGATTTGTTTGCTGTTGAATGGTTGAACTGCGTCCTTGCTCAATGTGTGACTGAACATGACTGAACAAAAAAAATGCAGGGATTTCATCATGTGCTGTCTGAAACTCCTTTGTCCCATGTTTTTTACAGTGGCATTTGCTCATTTCTGTTAGTTGCTTCCGACTATATTTACAACATGTTCTAACCATTGTCCGGATTTCTGTGGGGTATCATCCGGGTTCCACCTCTTTGTGGGTCACGTCTCTCTGTCGTCTATTTTTTGTGGCAGGTTCGGCCTTGTTTCTGTTGATTGGTGGTTTGTGGATGAACAGTGTGTCACGAAGAAGCGCCACCATTTGACGGGCTATCACATGTAAGATGGATACCTCCCTGTCAGTTGGCCTTGCGAGCCATAAGAAGATACTTATACCGTACTTATACCAGCTAAGCAGCTAATCAGCTAAGGAGCCCCGTTGTGCTTCAGTTAATCCTTGATGGGTCATGATAATCCCCAGGACACGTCACGTCCTGAGGATGGCTCCCTGTGGTGTTGAAACCATCGTGGTGGATCTCAAGAAGGAGATCGCAGAGGGAGCCTTCGAGGCGCCGTGGCCCAAAAAAAGAGAAGCCCTAAAGGGCCAGGTTTTGATGAGGAAAAACGTGATGTACCCTCTGGTAATTTAACGTAGCTATTGAAAATGGCCATAGGAATAGTTGATTTTCCATTAAAAAGTGGTGATTTTCCATAGCTATGTAAACGTTTACCAGAGGGTAGCTTCCAGGAATCTTCCAAGATCCAATGATTTTATAATTCTATATATAGTGATTTTGTGACGGTGACTTTGAACATGTTTTTTTTTTAACTGCCCAAAAATTACATTTTTTTTTTTATGGGGTACATGATGACACACCATCAATTTTAGTAGTACCAATTTTTTTATACAAACCCATGTGGCGTTAACGCGGAATAAACTTGATATACCTTCCAGTACCTTCCAAGATTCACTGGTTTAATGAGTCTCTATGGATCCATGCCCACTGTCTGAGAAGGTACAAGTCGCACCCTAAATCATACATCAAGTATCATCAAGTACTTTCTTTCAGAAGCTACGGCTGGATCCATAGGGAGTGAATTCTTTTGTTTTTTTTCATCATAGAATTGGATGATGGGAAAATTTACCAACGATTTTCCCTGTAGATTTTCCCTTAAAAACCATTGGTTTCCTATAGATTTTACCTATATTTGATGGTAAAAATCCATGGGTTTCCGGTGAAGATTTTCCCAACAAAACCAATCCAATGATTTGAAGAATCCCAATGAGAGATGGCCCGGCCAATGCATCCACCGACCTACGTGACTACGTGACGTAACCTACTTTGGGGTGCATCCCACTATTCGTAAATAGATGGAATACTCCCAGTTATTCCATGTTATTCCCAGTTATACAATGTTATATATGTATGTATATATATATACATATATATATATATGTGCATATATCTATATATAGTTATATATATATATATGAAATATCCCCATTGTATATGGAGCATCAACCACAGATCCGATTCGTGGGGACCGCCTGCCTCGGATGCTCCCTGCCCTCCAGGCGGTGGCAGCTCAAGCGATGTACGACGGGGGCTACTGGCAGTCCACCGGCATCGGACGATATGCCACTGGAGCGGCAATTGTGGAGTTTTGATGTTGATCCAACATGGGGATTCATTATGAACTGGTTAATTATAGAATTTGATTGGGAATAGAACGGAGATATAATGAGAATAGAACGGTATAAATAAGATTAAATAAGCACACATATTATATGCGGGTGTGTCTGGGAAATGCAGTATACACACCCAAACAGCAATTTTAATGGACAATTAGATTTGGGGTTACCCGATTTTCAGACAAACCCTAATGTTGAGCTAGTACTAGGTAGGCGGCGGGTAGACGGCCGCCAGCGAAAGCAAGCCATGTCAGATCCTTTCTTCTGGGATGGGGTGGGGTGGGATGTTAACGCTCATATATATATATATATAATATTATATATATATATGCACACATACTTGACGCCACGCTTCAAGATCTTCTCTGGCACTTGCACACGCACTTGACGAAAGAAAAAGCTCAGTGGCCAAAGTAGATTTCACACACATTTGAAACCATGTCAAAAATGATGAAGGTTCCCACCTAAAAACATGAGACAGCTTGGAATTACAAGTGCAAACGAGACATAGAATGCAAAGCAATGTTTCAAATTATTTCATTTATTTTCATTGTACCACGGCCGAATACGTGCTGGACACCTACTTTCATGTGGGTATGCAACATCTATGACCGACATTGATCGACCATGAAAAACGTCGGAACATGCAGGTAATCATCTATCATGGGTGTATTTGCCAGCAGTGGTTCGAATGGGGTTGGACCGTTGGACCATCAAACATCAAAGGGGAATTAACCGAAAAAAAACTGGTTGATTTCAATCGACCACGGGGACGAACACTCACAAGTGGATATAGAATGATATAGATATCGTTAGTTATACTAGATGTAATACCCAACGTTTTTTCTTTTAATTTCCTTGTTTTTCCAATACATATATTGTATATTATATAATATATACAAGTACCAAATTTTATCCACTATATCCCATGAATGTGCCACTTATTGCATTACACAATTGATATCCCATATCCAACCAAAAATCTCCATGAGATCCAGCATGTTTTCCCACGAATTCCCACGGTTTTCGCTGCAGGTCACTGCCAGGGGTCTGTTGGAGACCATGAAGAAGCACGGCTGCACCGTGCTGTCCCATGGTGCCACAGGCGCAGCATGCGGAGCGCTGCACGGAGTATGGGGATGATGAGATGTGTTTGCTGCAATGTGAGGCCCCCGCTCGATAGCTAAGTTGGTGAACACAACTCCAACAACTATGGCTTATGGTATTTATTACTATAGTTACTGGGGCGAATCTAAACCAACAAGTATCTTGGGGGCCTCACATTGTGGGTAATTCGGACAGGGTTTATGGGTTTATGTATGGGTTTATGGACCATTTTGTAGGATGGAGAATGGGTGCCACATTTTTTTTGTAGAGCAAAAGGATAGATCTGTGCAATATGGAAGAAGTACCCTTTGGTAAACATGAACATAGCTATTGAAAATGACCATAGAAATAGTTGATTTACCTACTCAAAATGGTGATTTTCTATAGTTATATTAGTTTACCGGAGGGTAATTAGTGGGATTTCACAATAGTGGGATTACAGAATACTTAGTGGGATTTCACAGAGTATAGTTTGGAGATACTATAAAAAATATGACAATAGTGTAAAATACTGTAACCTTAACTGTTCCCAATGTTTAAATTTCTGGACATAGTTGCAAGTGTGGAAAGATGTTGGTGTAGCCACTATTCCAAAATGTGGCATTCAGCATGATTTTGACCAAAACCTGTGATATTGACCTTGACCATGTGGGGGAAACTCCTGAAATATCAGCACCCCGAGTGTTCAACCAACTTATTCTGGTTGGTGGTTTGGATCATTTTTGTTTTTTTTCCATATATTGGGAATGTCATCATCCCAACTGACGAACTCATATTTTTCAGAGGGGTAGGTCAACCACCAACCAGTATATACCAGTATATCAGTATTGCATTATTGTCAATTGGGAATGTGATGGTGAAAATGGGAACCAAAACAAATACCAGGAAACCGCTCAATTTTAGGTCTGGAACTACTGCAATAACTGTCAATCCTCAATGCATTTGTTTGGAAACGGATACGTTTGTTTTGTTGCCCAGTCCAGAATTGGTTGGTTGTAAAGAACGCCCGAAAATTGCTAGAATTAATTGTTTTTTTTTTCCACGGACATCCATGGGCATGACATATCGTAGTTTCCAAAATTTGCATGGCTCGTGGGCTGCCAACGTATGGATCTTCTGCAGGCAGAGGAAACGACCAAGTCCGATTTGAGCGGTACGTCACACGGCTGGAGCGTTGTTTGGGATAAGAATTACCCTCCTGAAATATTTGCTAACAATTCTATGAACAGTAAACAAACATCTTCCGAATCAATTTGTCTGGCCAACTTGAAATAAACCAGAAAACTACGATCATATACTGATAGATACTGTATGTACGATCGTACATGCACAAGGATCACAATATGATCAAAGTAAGATAAGAATACAACATGATCATCTTGTTGCAATTAGCCCATACATAAAGATCATAACATTAACATACATGGATCATGGCATAGAAGTCTTCATGGGCTAAAAATGCTGGCCACAGGGACTCAGGGAGATGCTACAAAGTTGTTGAAATCGGTCCCTCCGGTGTTATCAAACGTGGTAATGGAAAACAAGCCACGGTATACCATGATTTTCTCATTAAGACCTCAATTTAGAGGGAATTGTCCTCTTAAATGTTGTTGTTTTACTCCCAAATGTTGGTATTCATATATCCGTGTTATGGAAGGCCGAAACCACAGGGCATGTATGCCCACTGCTCATGATCGGTAGTTCCAGTAACCCAAAATGGTTTCACCAGTCTCTTTGCGAGCTCATCCCCACTGAAGTCATTCTTCAACATCTGAATTTCTTTCCAACTATAACATATCACAGCTAAATAACTAAACCATGTTATTTCCATGATATCACTGATATCTTTGATTTTGATAGATGTTGGTGATGTTGGTGATATTCGGCACAAGAAAAGCATCACATCACTGGCCTCGGACGGTGCCTCGGTGAGGTCAATGTCATGGACCCCTCCTTCAAGGTCTATGCTCCCTGGCGCGATCCTGTGCTCCTGGACGAGTTCCCGGGGAGGACGCAGATGCTGAGTTTCTTGCAGAAGCTGCTTGGCGTTACCATTCCCGCCGGGGAGAAGCTTTCCGAAAGCTTCCACAAAATATTTCATGGCAGGTCAGAAAAAAGTGATGTTCGCTGTTAGCTGTTGGAAGCCCATAAATGAAAATAATCCTTACTGGATATATTAACCAGCAATGGTGGTTTGAGTGGGGTTGAACCATCAACTGTTTGGGGTACATGTGATATCATGGGCCATGGTTATACCACAAGCCGGTCAGCAGTTGAGATCAACATGTTGTTGAACTACAAACAAACCACACTCAACCATATTTGGGATGTTTGTCTCATATGTTGCATTGTCTTGCATTTGATGTTCAGCCATATTTGGATGTGGGGTTAAGTGGTGAGTGGTTTGTCGGATCGATCAAGGAAAACCAGCGTTGGGAGTTTATGCAAAGACATGCTGTGGGTAGAGTAAAAACATGTATCAGTTATTGTTCTTGATCGTATTTGTTTTTTGGGGTGGGGACCACATGCATGTGATTTCCTTTTACATGTGTGTTTTATCCATTTGTCATGATTCGTATATATATATATATTTATCCTGGGTAGGTACGGTAGAAGCGGCACAATACAGAAATGTCAACCTAATACGGTGAACAGATACAGGACTGCAATCTCAACATGACTCCTGGTTTGATAATTTCACTCATGCTAGCTTCATTTTTGCATCTTTGGCATGCAATTACCACCAGACTGCTTGGGAGATGACGGGACTGGTGGATGCCCATGGCCCCACAGTTGGTCGTTGGTCATTGGTTATTTCAACATTTTAGACCTGTCTATTTGGCCAGTGACAACGGCGGCTACGGCCATTCCAAGGCCACGGTTGGTATGGGTAAATAGAATATATAGAATGGCCGGGTAAATTACCAAACAATAGTATTTGGTAGACTAATAATTCCAAATTCTTGTTTATTTTCATCTTGGATAAAGCATCCCATGTTTGGGTCAAGGACAACAAACGACAGGCTTCTCCGGCTTCTCTGAGCATGATTTTTTCACTAATTTGTGGCAATGTTTTGAACAAGTAGTGAGCACAATTTCATGAACTATCCCAGTTTGACCACCTATTCATGGCGGTTTTCAACGTGAAACATGTCAGTGGATTTTGGGGTTGTTTCCCGAATTTTCAGAGAAGCCTTCCGCGTCTTGAAAGAGAGATCGTCTTGCTGGATTTGCAAATTTTCTGGTCAGAAACTGGAGTATATATACCCTCTGGTAAACGTTTACAACAAACCATGGAAATATCCACCATTTTTAATGGGTAAATCCACTATTTCTATGGCCATTTTCAATAGCTAATATGTTTGTTTACCAGAGGGTACTACTCGCACGTGGTTGAATGGTGCTTTACCCCAAGCATGCAGATGTTAGTGTAACTATACCTATACAAATCTACCAATAAATCCAATCATCAACGTATACTTGTAAACGATCTGAGCTACCCTCTGGTAATTTAACGTAGCTATTGAAAATGTCCATTTATAGTGGATTTTCCCATTTAAAATGGTGATTCCCATAGCTATGTTAGTTTACCAGAGGGTAACCATGGGGTACCACCTTGTATGTTTGTTGCGCCGCTTTTTCATTGGAGCCGAGTCGTCGAGGCATGGTATCGGCCACCAGATTGTGAGCCAGGCGTCCAAGAGATACTCTACGGATGCAAACATTTGCTCCTCGGACTTCGTCTCAAAGCTTCGGACCGTTGTGGTTGTTATGACCATCTGGTTATGACTAACAGGGCTAGCCATGGTTAAGCCATGGCCCTAATCGAAATAGATGGTTTACCGTTCTTAAGAATGGTGGATCTTTCCATGGCTATGTTAAATAACTAGATGGATCTAGATGGTAATGGTTATATAATATTATATATATGGTTAATATATAGTTAATACAGTATATGGTTAAAATATGGTTAATATATGTCAATATGTGGTTAATATATGGTTAATATATGGTTAATATATGGTCAATAGTAATAATTCATAAATGGTTGTTGTCTACTACCCTCTGGTAATTTAATATGGTGAATATATTGTCAATATATGGATATATGGGATATCGGATTCCCCTCTGGTAATTTTCTACATAGTTATTGAAAATCAGCACTTCTAATGGGTAAATCAACGAACTAAATGGGTCATTTTCCATAGTTATGTTAGCAGTCAGCTATTTCAAGTAAAGTTTTGTTTTGTTGTTTACTAAGTAATGTGGGTAAAACAATGCCATAAACCACTCATGTCTGGGAATGGAAACCATACCAGCTATTTATTATGGCATGGTGACTGGGGGATGGTTTATGAAATTGTTTTACCCACATTGTTGCCTTGCTTGGGGATATGTGTGAATAAATAACTTTGAGATTGCTACATGTGTTTGAATTATGTGCTTGTTTTTTTTCCCGTTTTGGGTGTTTTTATTTGATTTGTGTTTCCCCGCTTCTTTGCTTTTCTGCGTTTCTGCTTTTTGCTTTTCTGCTTTTCCCCACTTTTCTGTTTTTTTGCATCTCGAACCTAAACCAATCTTGAATCAACCCTAAAACAACCGTAAACCACCCCTAAACCTAAATGAACCCTGGTTGAAAAAACCTTGCAACATGAAAAATTTGAGCAGCAAAAAATGTTGCAAATACAATGGAAAATGAGAGGTTCGAACTCCAAAATGTTGCAGATACAGTTGAAATAGGAAGCTTCCAGCTCCAAAATGCTGAAAATAGCAATGAAAACGGGCGGAAAAGCAAATCCCCCCCCCAAAAAAAAACGGGAAACATACTGTAATTCTCATAATTCCCAAAACAATTCCGGACCCATACTTAAAACAGTAAAAACATTAATGTATCCACCGTAAATCAGATCGTTAACTGACCTATACATATAAGCTCAGCAAATGAGGAGTACCACCTTGTTGGTGGCACATCTCCATCTTTCTTAGGGAACTTCTTGATTTTGCTGCTTCGATCGTATCTATGATTGTTGAAGATATATCAACATGGGTGATTTGTGAAGTCGATGGAAATGTCGCATGTTTCTTAGTGGAAATTCCAACCTATATCTGGTTGGTGCTTTGGAACATGAATTTTATGACTTTCCATTCAGTTCCCATTCAGTTGGGAATGTCATCATCCCAACTGACGAAGTCCATGATTTTTCGATTAGAAATCCAGGTCCATCAGCAGTCGCCCAGCCATCCCAGGTGGTCTGAGCAACGAAGCCGAGGACCTCGAGTTGCTGGGCAAGAGAGATCCCTTGCTGGGCCACAGTGAGCTTTAAAAAAAGGAGATAGTTACGGTAGAATTGGTGTAATCCCTAAACATTCATCTAGATGATGACTCCAACGGATGATGAATTGATATAATTCATGTTTTTTTTTTTATTTATGGATAATTCAGTGATGATTCACTATAGTGGTGAATGGAGGAAACTGTGATGAACTAGGGTTATTTGTGTTCCCTGTGAAATGTGGAGCCAAGGAACTCTTCTTGGAGTTTTCCAACTACTTGTCATGGGACCCAAGGGACCCTACCAGTTACCTCTGAGATAGGTCACCAGTGGTCACCAAGGCGACCCAAAATCTGATGATTTTGGGGTTGGTGATCTATCTGACAGGTGGAAGCTGAGGCTCTGAGGAGGAAAAAAAAACCTGGCCACCCTCCATTCAATTCCATTCATATTTTTCACACCCCCCAGGGTCACCATGCTATGATCCAGTGAATCTATGGATAGTTGAAGTAATTGAAAATATTACCCTCTGGTTATGTCAAAACAGCTATTGAAAATGGCCCATTTATAGTCGATTGTCCCATTAAACATGGTGATTTTCCATAGCTATGTAAACGTTTACCAGAGGGTAACTGAATGATTAACTCTATGGATCTACTGTACTTCAGGTACAACTGGATCCGTATGGAATGGTACCACTGGTATTGAACCATGAAACATGGGGGATTTCATGGGGTATCAATGGGGATAGAATGGGATCTACAACTAACTATATATCCACTCTTGGTTTATTGGGTTTGGCTCAAAATGCGGCATATACTCTCCAAATGGCAGCATCTTGATAGGAGATAGGAATGTCCATGGATTGAAGGGTTATCCAAAAAATTCAGACAAACCCAGACAAATCCTCCAAATGTGTCCAATTAATTGGGATTACCCTCTGGTTATGTCAAAATAGCTATTGAAAATGGCCCATTGATAGTTGATTTAGTCACGTCCTTTGTGTGCCCTGCAAGCGAGGTCGATGCAGACTCCCATCACCATCGTGAATCCTGTGATGGGCGTATGGCCCAAGGATGCCCCTGACCAGCAGGAAGAGATCACCATGAAGTTCGTTGCAGGCACGGACGGCACCGTTTCGGATGGATCGTTTCGATCATAGTCATTATATGTTTTCTTTAATTATGATTAATTGATATTAATTGTATACACTTAATTTAATGCAGATTGTATATTCTATACATTTTTTGAATAGATGTTCCCACAGCAAAGCAGCAACTATACATCTTTTGGGTCTCCCACATTGCAGCACGGCCATGCCAACGGTTCCCGCAGGCAGATGTGTGCAGATCAACGGCAAGGACGTGTCTCCTCTAGAAGCTGTTCAGCAGTCAAATCAGAACCTTGGACGGTTTTTAATCAGAGCCTTGGTCGTGCCGCCTAAGCCCTCTGTTGGTTGATTTGTAGAGGATAAACTTACAAACAGATGTGGAAAACCCATGGTTTCCCTAGGAAAATGATCTACAAATGATGGGTGTTCCACATCGTTAGTTTACAGAAGGGTACTTTTTCGCTGGGTATTAGCCTCTTGATATTACTGGGCATCCCCATGATCCAATAGGTTTTGGCACTGCTCATCTCAAGGTCGTCTCAGATTCCCGCAAGATGGAGCCCTGTAGTTCTAAGTTGCTTTGTAACTCCCATTCACTATAGTTATATCCCCAAAAAACCCTACACTTAGCCAACTTATCTCATCCAAAATTGCTGCTATATCTATCGGGGGAACCTAGATCTAGCTTGCATTCAACAACTCTAAATCCATCCATATACACCTATTTGTTCTGATTATGGATATTATGGGTCTTGGAAGTGATCCACCATTTTTCCTTCTCTTGCTGTGAATCCACCATAATATCCATAATCAGAAATTGTATCATTATCCATAATATCCATAATATCCGTAATATCCATAGTATCCATAGTATCCATAATATTCATAATATCCTCATATATCATTATTGTAATCCTTACATTTACAGTTATAAGTACTTATAACATCTTATAACCCCATTTATAGTATGTATAATCCCATAGAAATAACCAGTTATAAATCATAACCATTATAACCATTATAACCATTATACCCTCTGGTTATTTGTTACATAGCCATGGGAAATGACCCATAGAAATAGATGGTTTACCGTCATTAAAAATGGTGGATCTTTCCATGGCTATGTAACAAATAACCAGATGGTATATAATGGTTGATAGTGGTTAATCATTGTTTAAGTATGACTA